CCATGCCCGTAGAACCCCCATGGCCACGCTGCACCAGCTTACTAGTGCCAGGTGGGGGGTTGGTTTTGTGTGCATGCACTGCGGTCCGACATTTTTGATACTCACCACGGCGCTCTGGCACCCCAGCCTGAGCATGAATACAACGCATATATATCCAATGCGAAAGCTTGCGGTGCAATTGCGCTTGCTGCGTATTCAGAATGCGGCGACACCAAAAATTAAGTGGACTCTGCATGTATAGCCACCGGATGGACGACCAAGGTTCACTTGTTACACACCAGTCTTTTGTTTGTTATTTTGCCTGACAAGTCGATGAATGCTTCAGGGAACGACGAAGATAGCTCGCAGGCCAGGAAGATGGGGGGCCGGGAGTGGGAAAGAGAAAGAGTTCGAAGAACGACTCGGACAACATATCGCAAGGGCTGGCCGAAACCGAAAACGCAAGTGATTGGAGCAACAAGGGACCGATACGTTGTTAATTAGTGTTAGCAGTTCGATTCGGGCATCTCGATGCCGTGGCCGAGACTAGTACTGGTATACCACGGCTCTTGGACTGCCGCGAGTAGCTTAGTTCCACCTATCAGTGCTGTGGCAAAGAAAAAAACTGATCGTAATATCGATATCCACGTAAGATTGTATATCCCGTCTTGTACAGTGCCCAGGCAAATTAGTGAACGCGAAATCGCTCTGGTTCACAGCCGAACAAAATAATGTGCAATGTGTACGTATTCGAAGCTCAAGTGATCACGGCGCTATGTTGAAGCTTACAGATCGCCCACCAATCGAGTCAATAGTGCAGGCGCTTGGGGTTGGTGTTCTGCTGGAACGGGGGCGGGAAAAGGGTATTAGGTGAGTGGATAGATCACAAATGCTGATTAATTGAACTGAGGCATCTTGGCTGGCTTCTAATTGGAGGGGGATGTAAAGAGTCGGACCCGCGCGGCCCGGAATGTCGTCGTGATACCGATAGCCACTCGCACCGCATCGGGGGGTGAGGAAGGGGCTGTAAAGGCTGCTTCAGCTAGCCGGCTGCATCTCAGTGCCAGAATTTGGTTGGCGAATCGGAAAGAAAAAAGAAAAGAAAAAATAGTGAATTAACATACACCTACATGGTTCGTCCAAGTTTCACGAATCATTGACAAGTGCGGTAGAAATCTCACAAGGAGATTTGCCGCAACCGCAACACAATCACGTACTGTATTTTGGATTGCCAATTTGCCAAATTGTGTTATTCTATGGGGTAGCATGCAAAGGTTCAATTCTGCCAGTGATTTCAAGTATAGTGATAGTGCAGGGTTACAGTAATTTTTCGAGACTTATATGTATGTATAGCGTAAACTTTTTTTAAATCCGACCGATATTCGGGTTTCGACGTCAATAATCTGACGAGTAGGGTTACCATGCCAGACGTTGCTGGAGGGATATGCGTGGGCCGCCCTCTTGTCTGATTTACAGTCATGCACGAAACGCCAGTTGTGTCGTGTACAGTGGGTTGCAAAAAAAGTTGTCGCATCCAATTTATATTTAATATCGGATTGTTGACAATAAGAGCACTTGTCATCAGGTCCCAATGACACCACCGCACCGTTGTTCACGCCCTCTGCCTTGTGCAACGATGAGAAATCACCTCGTACCACTGGCCAAGGACCCCCTAGTCACAATTTCAGAGACCGTGCATGACCACATCTGAGCTCTCAGCAGCAGCATGATGAATGTTACCAGCTTCAATGCCAGTGAAGACCTGGCCCAGTGTAGGTTGTTACCCTGTCAGTTCTGCTGCCATTTTTGTCTCATCATGAGACCCCCCTACATCCAAATCAGGGGCGACATTTATGTTTTTGCAAGCCGCTTGTAATTTCACAACTCACCAGATTGGAACGCTAGCGCATGGCATTGTAAATATTGAAATCAGCGGGATTTCACTTCAAGCCACACGCCAAATGCCGCCACTAGCTAGCTAGCGTAAACGAGTCCAAATTGTCAAGGTTCGATCGATTGGGAGATGAAATAGATGTGATGAGTGTCCTCCTAACCGCGTGCACACCCCGGCCACGCGACTGAGACTAACTCGGGCAGTGGATCAACAAAGGTGCTAGACCTAACACAGGGAGATCAGGTTTATGCATTGCTATCATTGTGGGGAAACTGCTTGTATGGGAGAACATCTCAATTCATAGACATCATATGTCATGTCGGGCCCGGCAGCGAGGAATTAATTATGTACATCATTATCATTGCGGGGAGTGCGCTGCAAACTGCTTGTATCGGAGAACATCTCAATTCATGGATATCATATGTTACTTATTGGCTAGCCAATGGATCATGTGGGGAGAAGTCGGGAGCGGACCCGCAGCGAGAAATTAATTGCATATATACGGTACCGTCAGGAGTGCATGATTCGGGAATACAGGATTCTCGAGAGATAGATTGGGGGTCATCTGCATTCATCGATGCATGAGGGGCCGCAGTTGTGTAACATGGGCTGAACACAAGCCTGCGGTTACAATGATGACAGCAGCCAGGGCATGTACTGGCGAGCCAGTTATCGCACCTCAATTTCAATAACGTTACTACGTCGTCTCACGCCTGTGTCAGCGAGCTGATAACGTGGCCGGGATCAGCTCCCCACAGTCCCTGCTTCGCTCTCGCGTGTGGTTATCTAGGCTACTGGGTTGATAGGGTAGTAGTATAAAAAACAAATACGATATTAGATATTTGGTAAATCCTACACGAGGGGCGTGTTCCATCGGGTAAGTCGTGAGATTATCCGAGTTGAGGGTCCCATTATTGGTATAATTTATGAAGCGTGTGCCGTATCCCTACGCCGTGTCTCTATACATGTGTAGTATAGTCACCAAAGAAAAAAATAATCAAACAAATAACAATGTGTGGTATTCGATGCCCCTTCCGGGCATGTACTCACCGGGGGATTCGGGGGAGTGTGAACCATACTTGTTAGCGATAGCTTTGCTACCGTAGCAACGGGGAGAGTGCATCTTCCGTGGAAGGGTCCAGAAGCCACATTGTGCCTGTGCCCTAGTAATGACTTGAATGTCCCCAGCGGACCCTTAACGGGGGGGGGGGGGGGCTGCGACTAGCTAGGAGTAGGAGCCTGGCGGCGCATACAACATGAGCTGCGGCGTGGATAGTGTTGCACCAATTGGACCCCGACAGGTTGGGAGCCCTTTGCGTACAAAAGCTTAAGCAGACACTGAGGGAGAAGCCGCGCTGTCGACGGGTTTCGCCATTAAGGTCAGACTTGTTCCTGAACACATGCGATGCACGAGCTCGAATAGGAGATAAATATTGCGCTTGAACAGGCCTTGTATTAGTCGAGAAGCAACTGGAGGGGCTGTGACTTGACATGACAGGTCAGGTGGCAATAAACGTAAAGAGGAATCCCATGCAACTGTTAGGCTGATTTTGCCTATATGTTGTGGCAGTCAAAGGAAAGAACACCAATAGCTAGTTATCAGGGTTGGGTTCGTGTTAGACGAACCCCCGGTTAGGTTGATGCCGGAAGCGGGAAGCGAGCCTCATGTGATTCATCCAGTCAATAGTGAGTTCCGATCAGTCGGTCGTAAGAAAAACGGTTTAGAGCGAGACGTGCATGTGCGTGCGGCGGCGGACTCCATCAAAGGGACAACCGACAGGAGGCTAGCTTCTTTATTGCATAGAAGAAGGAAGCACTTGTTGAAGTAAGCATATCGCGACTTGGCGTCTGGCATGTGAGGACCCAAGGTTCTTGAAATGCATTTCGGAATCTCAGGGCTTGCACAGCCATGCAACTCCAGGCGCTGCTCCCTTTTGAGTGTCCATAGGACGCTGATTACGACTAGGATCTTGAGTGCTATGTACGCGATGTTGACACACAAGCTAGTCGAGCTTGCCATCAGGCCGAAAGTGGCGAACACCGGCATTCTCATTCCGCAATGCGTTGTTCCACATGCGCATGACATTCGATCGATCAGCCGAGTAATTCATCTATGATGTGGACCCCGGATACATCGCGGAGTACGTCCGAATGCACACTCCGAGGACATGGGTAGCACATGCAGGGAATATAGGTCACAGGAGCGAGTATTATCGTTTTCTTGTATGTCGTGTCGCTTCCTGCGCTATTCTCTTGGACCGCGGCGTGTACACCGCACATGCGGTGCGGCGCTGTGTTCGAATAGGCATATAGTGGTGCTCTTGGTAACAATCATGATATGCCACTCGCTGCATGCGGCGTCTAAAACAAAGTCGTCTAGGCTCAGGCAACTTTGCTGGGAGTGGCGTATCAATCTCAGGGAATAGGAGCCAGGTCGGCATGGGACAGAAGCGCTTCCGATCGTGAGCCACACGGATCTACCTCTGCAGTAGGGTGGATAGGCGCTAGGGCCTACATGGAGGGGACCAGCCGCCTTTGCGCGGCACGTGGAAGCCCACAGGCCCTGGTGTGCAAACCTCGGCACAACTGAAAAGCTCTCGCCCCACTCCGTGCCTCTGAGTCTGGGATACCTAATCTATTCGATGTTCGTTAAAGGTATCAAATTCCCCCCGCATCAAAGGGAGACTCGGAAAGCTACGAACCTCACTACCAATTGTTACACGAGATATTGACTGACGTAGTTCAACAGTCCAGTAATTGGCAAAGAACCAAGATATTACGGGTGGGGTGATGCCAAAGGGATCATAAAGGCAAGACCAGGTGGGCTGTGCACAGATTAGTGCTGTGTTGGCGTGACTCCGCATCACAACACTTCACGGTCCATCTCATGGAAGAGACGTCCACCTTGCCGTGCATGGTCCAGGGGCTCCACCACACGAAGACTCGACTCTAGTGATGACCGGGGCCTCGGGAAACGTCCACCAGGAAATGTGGAAAACGACGTGTATGGTGGTTACACGCGGCGTGTCGAACACGTTTTCCTTTCTCATGCATTCTCCGCCACCTTTTTCTTATTCTACGATCATCTGTGGTACCACGGTTTTCGTCCACGCCTGCCTTTCTTTCTCGACGAACCTAATGGCAGTCCTGTGGTTGTGTAGTGCGCTATGCACCACTGCTCACGACGCCTCCCTCGAAATACACTTCACTCTTGGGGTGGGGAGACCAACCCCGATAACTCCCGGCTATTACAGCCGACGAGGAGTGTGGGCGCTTGCGCTCGGATTCAAACCGCTGCGCGCGATTCTATTTTGAGACTCTACCTATTATCTGGGTGAGCGCGTCGGGATTCTTTGTAGCCCATGCTGCCGCCGAACATGACTGGCACAAATGAGTTGCCGAGTTTTACATGGGCTAATCTTTTCGGACGTAGCACCTGTGAATGTTGTGAATATTTGCACAGCACCTACCCATCGCAGTATCCATATGCTGCCCAAATCAGCGTCATACTATTCTCCCCGGTCTCAGGAGGTTCTATGCAGGTTCAGTTTGTGTCTCGTATTACAGAGGGGACAACCCTCATGGTTATCATCATACGAGCGGCCCGTCGGGTATGACACTAGCCTACTGTATCGACCTTATCTCGCCTACTTCTCAACTTCGGCAGAATCTCCGTCTAGCATTTTCTGTTTGAACCCTAAATCGGCGTCGTCTTCTCCCCTCTACTCAGTGAGGTCGGTGGGGTGGATGGATGATAGATGCCATCACTTTATACTCGGCTGCATGCGTGCCTTTCGACATATGACGGAGTGTACAATGTTCCAATCAGGTTTAGATCCACTGTATCGCCTCTCACATTGCCACCGTTCCGAACGACAACCGCCAGTGTCCCATCAGCAATCCTCTACCCGTTTCCCAATCAAGCCGTCGGTATCTCAACAGCCTAGCACTCCTGATTGTCGAGCCGCTGATATTCCTCGAATTGTCAAGAATTATTATCCAGGACAAGCACGAGCTGTGAGAGACCGAAAAAGCAGCACCTACGGCCGCGGGAAGGCACACATGTTGTTTTGAGTCGGTTGTTCGTCTGAGTGAGAGCCAATCCCCACTTCCTTCATGGACATAACAAAAGAGCCTGGAGCAATAGGCAAGCTTAAGTAGGCAGAGAAAGTGTATGTCGATGTGGGATGATCATTGTTGCGGCAAAGGTTCTATAAACAAGGGAGGTGTAAGGCCAGTGTGAAGGTCTTGCAGATGCGCACTGAGCATCGTTTAGTGCGAGCGAGTGGCCTGTTTTGCAAGCAGCTGGGCAACTAAGGCATTCTGAGTCCGGGTGGCCTGGGCGAGCTCGGCAATTGTCTCGTTGATCGTCAGGAGCGCCTCATGGATCGCCCTGCCCCAATTCCCCACTTCCGAACCTCCTTCCACCTCCATACCCTCCTGTCCCTTCGGTGCGATGATCCGCATCCGTTTATTGGCCTCCGGCGCCCCTGGCGCTCGGTCGCACTTGACCTTGGCCTTCTGGCACGAGGCGCATATGACGCCCTTGCCGGTACCGCGCACGCAAGCCCTGTCTAGCCTGATGCATCGTGAGCAGGCAGGCAGGTCCTCACCGGCTGACAACGGTGCTTCCTCGGTAGTCTGATGCTACGAGCGAAGTGATCAGCGACGCTCGGAGACCCTTGTTCATGACAGGGATTGCGATATTCACCTTGCCTTTCCCTAACTCCGTCGTCGCATGGCCTTCTGGCGCTTCGCCTCCTCTGCTGCGAGACGCGCAGCCTCTTCCCTGGCTCTCACCTCCGCCGCTTCCTCCTCCCGCTCCCGCACTAGCCGCCTTCGCATCTCCTCGTACTCTCGCCGCGCCTGGCGGCGCCTCCGCCTCTCCTTGAATTTCGCCTCCATGAGGATGACATCGTCGTCTGACCCCTCAGCCAAATCAGCCTCATCCCAGTGAGAGAGGTTGGGGATGTAGGACTTTGGAAGCATGTTCGACTCCATCAGACTTCGTTGTTGTGGAGACGATTGACGTTGCGGAATTTCGGATCCGGCCGAAAGGTTTCCACACAAGCCACGTGGGATTCTTGGCTGAATATATTTGTCTACATATTTGTCTATAGACATAAACCCTGGGGTTATAGCCGCTCTGCCACGTGATGGCGGGGCCGCGGGGTAATAAAGCACCACCGGGGCTCCATTGACCATATGACACCCTCCTGAACCCCCACCATGTCCGACCTCTGTCCGAACACCCTGAACCTTTTCCAGGCATTCCTCACTTGGCCCAAGCACCCATCCTTGGGGCCGATACAAGCACGTCGGCCAAACCTGCCGCCTCTCGGATTCCGATGCCGGTATCCGGATGGCACCTTTCCTTTGTTTCTCTCCTAGTTATGTCCTTCACCTGCCCCTGTTGCTCCTCTGACATCCGTGTTCCGTCCCCGGATCCCGATGTACTCCCGCGGTTCTCAAAAAATCGCTCCAGAACCGAACCGAACCGAGCCGTGGCACCCCTACGAGTCGGAGTCACGCTCCCCTCAGCTCGTTCACGGACAACATGGGCATTGCCACTGAGGCCACTGTGAGCTGTGCTGCATACCTACATGTGGAATGGTGTCATCTCTAGTCTTGTTACAGGCATTGTATATCTCCGAGTTTGGCAGGATGTTGTCGCTGCTCCTAATGAGATGCACCTTTTCTTTAATGCTGTCCTTTAATCCTACAGTTAACAACTGCAGCTTCAATAAGTTGCAACGTAGTACAGACGGTGTCCCAACATGCGGAACAACATGTGTCGTTCTTAGACGGTTTTGGAGCTGGAAGCTGATGGCAAGGGGTACCGATATCTTGATCCTAAGATAACCCGTGTCTTTCATGGAATGCCCCAATAACACCGGCAATTTGGAGTGGGCAGTGTGCAGAAACCACGCAAAAATCCTTCTTTCTCTGGCGGACCATTGTTCCTTACTCGATAATCTGGCAAGAGCCGCAACGGCCATCTCTCCAAGCAATGACTTGTACTTATCACGGGTTTCCCAGTGTCTTAGCGGAGCCAAGATAACGGAATCCCGGTCTCCGTATTCTCCTCGTTCCTGTGCTCCAGAGGAGCTTCGCAGGGGATTCTGAACGCCTTGGGTCCAGCCAGCTGTTCCAGCTAAAAGTATGTGGACACGCGCTCCTGCTTCCCGAGGATCAGCAAGGTTCAATCGCCGCCACCTGCCTTAACATGCGCCATATTTTGCCTCAGTGGTCCCTTTCCCAAAAGGGGCCCGAGTTGTTGATGTGCTCTGGTAGCGCATCGTCTGGATGTTTGTTGGATACTGTCGGCCGGCCTGGGAGAGGCTCAACAGCCTCGAAGGGGGCAGGATCATCGACAGTCGCACCGAAGCCATGCTGCGAAGCTACCTGAAAGCGGATATGATTCATATATGACTTATTTGGGTGTGGTCGGTTATGTTCTGCTAATCTCGGCGGCGAACGTGGTCGATGTGATCCCGGGCAAGTTGGAGAGGATGATTTAAGGATGTTATAATTCCGCACAAAGGGGGGGGGGCAGCTATGAAGCAGATTCATCTTCAGAATAGGGCACTGACACAATTGTAGATATGTGGCCGATTGACGGATTGACGTGTCTAGCTAGCTGTTCAAAATATTCACCCCTGGCGCCCTACCTATTTCATCTCGTTGCAAGGCCAAAGATCTGAGCCCCCAGTGCCTTGGCTAGAGCGCACACCTGTCATTGAGATCGCTTTTTGGACGTCGTATTGATGCTCGCGCCAGAAATTGCCTTTTTGAGTATTTATCTGGCCAACATCGCCTCACCGTCAAACATGATTTGCATCATCTATAATTTGCATAGTTTCTGCCACAGAACAAGGAATGCTTTTGTTTTCACCGCCTTGACAACAATTAATGAATTGCTTGAACTCAGACTGGTCTCGATCTGCCTAGTAAATGTATTAAAGGCGCTATACCACCCAGTGGGAGTTATTCTTTTCACTCACCCTTTGGTTCTCTGTTCAAGCACTAACACTGAGCCCGTTTTGGAAGTGGTCATTTAACGCCCAACGCTGAGCTTACTGCAAGACATTTGATGCTGACTGAATACTAATACTATGCCACCTTACGAAATAAGCGGTGCGGGTTTCTTCTGTATGCGTATACAAGTCACGGTGGTGGCACGTTCTCATTTTCCACTTGTAGCTCCCATTCGTATTCTCCACAACACGGGCAGCAGCGCTACAAAGCTCCAGACAAATTCAGATGATGTAATTACGGCGCTTTTCTTATTAAGATGCTACTTTCCAAAGTGACCTTAATTTCATTTTCGCAGCTGTCCCCCGCCCTGAACCACTTCGAAGGATCTGACGGCAAGATCTTCATGTCCATTAGTCCAGACCGTAGCAAAGAGCATGAGCGGTATCGTGGCGCGAACTCGGTGCAGGATGGTGCGTCATCGAGACGCAGCAATTCTACCGGATTTGTTGAAAAGATAGGTTTGCTGTGGAAGAACCGGTTCGTGCAAAGGCAGTTTCAGAAGGCGGTGTCATCATCTCCTAATTTTATTGGCGACATTTCGTCAGCTTCTCGAAAAAATATGTTGGTGATGCCCACAAGCAGATTAAGCTCGCTGATGGCAGTACGATTACGGTCTACGCGCGCGGTACTGAGGGACACTTGAAAGTCACAGAGAAGCCTCAGGTCGAGCCACATCAAACGCACAATGTGATGAATAACCCACCCATTCGTCAGAGACTCCGTTCCCTTCCAAGTGGCAGACCATCTGAGCAACCCCCTATGTTTCGATCTCCTTCCCACTCGCAGCAAACTGATACAGGACTGGAATCTCAACCAATCCCCCATGCAGAAGCAACCCTCCAAAACTTTTCTAGAAACCAAGTTTCAAGCGTCCACCGTAGCCCTTCGAACATCAAGCGGAAAGCGGCACCCCGATGGTCTCTTTTCTCTTCGACTGATCCCTCTGGGCAGCCGCAGACGATTAGGGGTCGCTCTCTCTCAGGGGTCGATTCTGACGAAATTCAATTGCCTCATTTTAACTATTCAGAAGCCACCGTTCCTTCATCAAGACCTAAATCTAGATCCCTCTCCAAATCTCTTGTTCGCCCAGAACGAACATCGAAAAACTTTCGAACCTCGTACCAACCACCACTCAGCTGCCGCTACCAGCCCGCCAGCTGCGCGGAGTCGTGTCTCACTGCAATCTACCGCGGCGCCAACGATGACGACTTTCACAAGACGTACATTGATGACCCCCGAATCATCATTGCTTCATGTCGAGGACTGGCATGAAGAAGAACCAGAATCGCCCACTGCAAGGCAACGAGTGTCCATTCATTGGACCCTTCTGTCCCTTGATGCGCAATATCCCATTGTCATGGATTTGTCAAAGCGGAAGAGGGATCTTGCGCTGGTGACAGATCCGGATACCCCATGGTGGAATGTGAACTTGCTTTCGAAACCTGCTACGCGTCCTTCAGTCACCAAATTGAAGTTAGTTTCTCCAAAGACGATGTCAATCACTATCGAAAACGACCAAGGAGTCACTGTAGGTTTTCTAATCAGCCTATGACCAAACTCAGAGTAATTGACGTGTCCGTCTATTTTGCAGGTTCATGACGTGATTATGCATCTATTTGAAACATTCAGACGCCCTCTTACGTCTGAAGAACTCGATATATTCACGCCTAGCATGCTGTACCAAGCCCGTGTCGCATATTCCGAGAACAGACGCCATTGGACAGGAAATCCAGCCAAAATACCCAACGAGTTGAGGTGGATTGACACGCTTTTCGATGAGCCGATGTTTGCGGGTTTGTCGTGTGACCCCGAGATTCTTCAACAGCACAGTGGAGATGCGATGGATACCCTTACACTTGTTATGAATTTTAAGTCTAGATGATCGATGCACTGCTCGAGACGAGAAGATCCTTGCAGCAATTGCTAACTTATAATACCCTTTTGATGATTATCTTCATTAGTAGGTTCAGGCGATGACTTCACCTCATTCCACTGTAGCCCAACGTTGATCCCAGAGTTTGTTGTTTTTGATTTAGTGTAGTTGATGCTTTTTATCCTTCTTGCTTTCATCAAATGCCCACCGGCTAAACTCCAGCTATGTCCTTGCATTAATGTTATTTGCTTTCCAACTGCACCGGCTTCCACGGCATTCCCAAAGGGCACGAGGATTTAGAGAATTTAGAGATGGGCCGTTCTTCTCGAAGTGATCCATAACGACGGGAGAACGGAATCACAATCACATACATAGTTTGCACCGACAAACAATTGGCCCGAGAAGCTCTGCCCGTCGGCTTCGGGAGTTCTCTGGCCAGTTTTCTGGTTACACTGATTCTAGTGCGAGTGCTGCGAGTTGCTTGCAAGTGTGTCCATGACTCTTCTCTTCCCCTTCTGGTTGATACACAAAGAATATCATCGCCCCGCTGTGAAGTATTACTGAAACCAAAGATTTTATAAGACGTGACTGCGAGTATAGATGACTGCCCCGAGTAACTCTATACTTAAATAGTCAGAGAGAGAGGTTACACGAAGTGACAAAGGAGCGAAGGCAACAGAACGCTCAAAGCCGCTTGTCTAAATCCAACAATGTAGACATAGATCACTTTGAGGATGTTGTTCCTGTCGCGGCGGGCTTCCATCGGTCCACAAGTCGAAGCCACTCGCAAACGACTTGTTCGCCTGAATCAACCGGCTAGACGGTTGCGCACAGGTTGTTGAGACAGCGCAAGGGCAAGGATGGCTAAATTGATCCGTAGTTTGTTCTCGGCGAATAAATGAGGAAGGTGGAGGTCGGGTCATTCACGGCGGTTCCCGGAAAGCATTTTTCGCACACTCAGCAAACAAAAATTTGCCGCTTGTGAACAGACTCCCCACGACAACCTCCCATCATCCTCTTCATCTATGGCCGGTTATTCGTCACCATTCCTACGTCAGTTCCCCATCCTCGCTGTCTCTGACAAGCTAGATGCTGCCAAGCCAAAGCCAGCACCTACTGGAGTTGACCTGTACGCTCGCTTTGCCGTTGCCGGTGCCGTATGTTGCAGCGTCACCCATGGCGGTTTGACCCCTGTGGATGTCGTCAAGACCCGTATCCAACTTGAGCCTGAGGTGTACAACAGGGTGCGCAACATCTTCCAAGAAAACCATTGGTTTCTGCCATTGCCCGGCTGACGCACGTTCATTCGCCATAATAGGGGATGATCACTGCTTTCCGCCAAGTCGTCCAGAAGGAGGGTGCTGGTGCTCTCTTAACTGGTTTCGGACCTACGGTTGTCGGGTATGCTCTTCAAGGTGCATTCAAATTCGGTGGTTACGAGTACTGGAAAAAGACAATTGTGGAGTCGATTGGTTTTGAGACCGCTCAGGCCAACCGTACCTCTGTTTACCTCGGTGCTTCCGCTATTGCCGAGTTCTTTGCCGATATCGCTCTCTGCCCTCTCGAGGCCACTCGTATTCGTCTGGTCAGCCAACCTGACTTCGCTTCTGGGTTGGCTTCTGGATTCGTTCGTCTCGCCCGCGATGAGGGTATAGGCGCCTTTTACGCTGGGTGGGTTTGTTCCAATCAAATTTATGACTTTCCACTCTGAAATTGTTTTGTAGATTTGGTCCTATCCTCTTCAAGCAGGTTCCTTACACCATGGCTAAGTTTGCTGTGTATGAGATGGCCTTCGTCAGTCTTTTTTCTGTGTTTCTTGTGCTTTGCATGATATCGTATTTGAATGCGCAGGAAAAAGCCATTCAAGCCTATGGCAAGCCAAAACAGAGTCTTTCGCCCAGCGAAACCAGTACTCTCAACTTGGGCTCCGGTCTTATTGCCGGTTTCGCTGCTGCCATCATCTCACAACCTGCAGATACTCTCTTGTCGAAGATTAACAAGACTAAGGCTCTTCCTGGGGAGACCATCACTGGCCGTCTTGTTAAGATGAGCAAGCAGCTCGGCCCCGTCGGTCTCTTCACTGGATTGGGTGCTCGGTAAGCCAAATTCGTCGCAGTTTCCTACGCTCATGTGATGCTATTTGCTCACGCATATCTTCTTCCTCCCAGTTTGTTCATGGTTGGTACTCTCACTGCCGGCCAATGTAAGTTATATGGTTATAGTCTTTATTGTCCTAACGCTTGTGCATTTCCTAGTCGCCATCTTCGGAGAGATTAAACGTGTCCTTGGTGCCACTGGAGGTGTCGAGATTGCCAAGGTCACACAAGTCTAAATATGATCACCTGGCTGCTTTCCATTTATTCGCGAACCTTGCTCATGAACGTCTCGTCCTCATTACCCCAAAACTACGCCACGACTTGGTTTCACTTCTATTACTCGTTCCTTTATTACGGCCGTTTCTTTTCTTTGTTGTCCTCCTGTTTAGACGTACCCGTAGACAAACATACTATTCCATTCTATTTCTCACGATCGTCTCATTAATTGCTTCCATCGGCTTGGGATGGAGGCGTGATCAAGTACGACTCGAAGCCAGGTTGGCTGTGTAATAATGATGATGCGAGTGTGAAAATTCGCATAGACTTCAACGATCGTGGGAAGAATGGGCTTCCGGCAAAACCCAGGCCACAGACCTCCCGGCGCCTGTTTTCAGCACCTCCATTGCTGGGTTTCGCTGGTGTCATGAGGAAGCAACTTGACCCTCGGCTGCCTATCTTGATCAACAATGGCATCAAGAAGAACCATCGGTCCTTTATTGCGCTGGTGGGCGATCGAGGGAGGGAACAGGTGTGCTCAGTTGAACCCTTGTTGCGCAGTGTACGCAGGAATCTGAATTCATCAAAATGGGAAACTAGGTTGTAAACTTACATTTCTTGTTATCACAAGCCGAGTCTCCTCTAGGCCCTCTGTTTTGTGGTGTTACAAGAAAGACCTCGGGTTCACTTCGTACGTTGCGTTGGTGTCTGGAGCAAGTTACGCTTGCTTAAAGGTTTTACTCCGTCAGTCACCGTAAGATACGCGAGAAGAGTATTAGACAACAAGAAAAGCGAGGGCTCCGTGAGCAGAATGAGAAGTCACCTTTCGAACTCTTCGTGACCGTAACAGATATTCGCTACACGTATGTCATTTCGCATATTGAAGGCTCGAGCGCGTGCTGATGTGTCATCGCGTAGATACTACAAAGAGTCCCATAAAATCCTCGGTAACACGTTTGGGATGTGTGTATTGCAGGACTTTGAAGCGGTTACACCCAATCTGCTCGCGCGGACGATTGAGACCGTGGAAGGAGGCGGTCTTGTTATTCTCCTGCTGAAGACCATGACATCTTTGAAGCAATTGTATACCATGACTATGGCAAGTGCTTTGATATTGGTTACATCTGGGCTCCTCGTGATTGTTTATTATAGGACGTACACGCTCGTTATCGTACTGCTGCACACGATTCCGTTGTCGCGCGGTTCAATGAACGCTTCATCCTCTCCCTCGGCGCATGTGAAGATTGTCTTGTTCTGGATGATGAGTTGAACGTTCTTCCTATTTCCAGAGGGAAAGATATCCGCCCTGTAGAGGACCGTGATACAGAAGACTTGACATCGAAGCCGGAAAAGGAATTAAAGGAACTAAAAAGCAGTCTTAGCGAAACCAAACCTGTTGGCGACCTAATTCAGTTGGCAAGGACCTTAGATCAGGTGCTACTTAACCCTTGTGCTAATTATTACCTCGACTCACTCACTGGGATAGGCCAAAGCCTTGTTGACGTTCATTGATGCTATCGCAGAGAAGACTTTGTCGTCAACGGTGACCCTTACTGCCTCCCGTGGACGTGGTAAATCAGCTGCATTAGGCCTCGCCATTGCTGCAGCCCTCGCACATGGATACGCAAACATCTTCGTCACCAGTCCCAGTCCTGAAAACTTGAAAACTCTGTTCGAGTTTATCTTCAAGGGCATGGATGCGCTGGGCTACGAAGAACACCTGGATTACGATATTGCTCAGAGCACCAATCCTGATTTCAATAAAGCCATCGTGAGGGTGAATCTATTCAGAAATCACCGGCAGACAATTCAGGTGAGTGACAATGTTACTTATCAAGTATAGCCAGAGATCCATTTGCGTCCGAAGTACATCCAACCCGAAGATGCCCACGTCCTCGGGCAAGCTGAACTCGTCATCATCGATGAGGCTGCGGCCATTCCGCTCCCTCTAGTGAAGAATCTCATTGGGCCTTATCTCGTTTTCATGTCTTCGACCATTAATGGCTACGAAGGCACCGGCCGTTCATTGTCGCTCAAGCTCATCCAACAGCTCCGTGAAAGTACCCGACCTAGTCTGACGAAAGACTCGGCGGATTTGAATGAGAACGTTGCGTCAACCTCCAGTAAAAGGGCAGCTTCATCAAGTACAACGATGCTGAAGGCCCGCACACTTCGTGAGATTCAGCTAGAAGAACCAATTCGTTACAGCTCAGGTGACAAAGTGGAGAAGTGGCTTCATGCCGTTCTTTGCCTTGATGCCACGGTTGTATCAAAGATGTCATTTGGCACTCCCCATCCCTCAGCATGCGAACTGTACTACGTGAACCGTGACACATTATTCAGTTATCACCCTGCAAGTGAGGTGTTCTTGCAGAGACTGATGGCTCTCTACGTCGCATCACACTACAAAAACTCGCCTAACGACTTGCAACTGATGAGCGACGCTCCCGCCCACCACTTATTTGTGCTTTTGCCTCCTCTCAAGGATGATGAGAGTGTATTGCCTGATCCGCTTGTGGTACTCCAAGTTGCTCTTGAGGGCAATATCTCGAAGGACATTATCATGGAGAGCCTGAGCAAGGGAGAGCGGTCGAGTGGCGATCTACTACCGTGGATAATGTCTCAGCAAGTGTGTTTTTATGGTTATTGGTCTCTCTGAGAGCTCACCTTACTTTTCGCCCCTGTAGTATCAAGATAGTAACTTCGCTAAGCTGTCCGGTGCCAGAATAGTCCGAATAGCAACTCATCCAGACTACACGAGCGTACGTCTTCTGGATTCATTGGTTTGCATCCTCTGACTCCTCTTCGGTGTAGATGGGATATGGCGCGCAAGCTGTAAAAGTGCTTGGTTCTTACTATTCGGGGGAGATTATGAACGTAGAAGAATCAGTGCAGGATGAAAATTACCAGACCTTTGAGCAGGCGGCAGAAGTGAAACAGAATGCGTCACTTCTCGAAGATGAACTTACCCATCGATCCGCATCTTCCCTTCCTCCCCTTCTTCACCGTCTTTCACACCGAAAACCAGAAATACTTGACTACCTTGGTGTGTCGTACGGGCTCACCAGACCCCTGCTCAAATTTTGGAAAAGGGTTGGCTTTGCGCCTTACTATCTCCGCCAAACCGAGAACGACATTACTGGAGAATACGCAGCTGTTATGCTCAAGGCTCTCAGTGGAGATTTGGGGCTGGAAGCCTTTGCACAGGGTGATTTTTTTCTGCACAGCTTTTAGCTAGAAATCACTTTAACTATGGGACCGTAGACTTTCGACGGAGATTCCTGTCGCTGCTATCATTTAGGTTCAGAGAATTCGAGCCAGTCACAGCATTGAGCATCATCGAGGCGGTGAACAATGTAGACGGGCACAGGATGATGGATCCCGTGGTCAGTATTTCTCCCTTTCCCAACGCAAGTCACTGACAATGAACTGCTCATCGAAGATCTTAAAGTCTCCGAGCTCAACATGCTTCTGACACCATTCGATCTTAAGCGGCTGGAATCTTACTCCAATAACATGCTTGACTATCACGTCATCCTGGACCTTTTGCCGACAATTGCCACTCTATACTTTGACAAGCGGTTGGGAGATCTCAAGCTGCACGCAGTACAAAGTGGGATTCTGCTGGCGTTGGGTCTGCAACGGAAATCCATCGAGGATGTTGAGGTACGCTGATCTCCTGGTTGTCCGCCGTTTGCATGCACTCTGATAACTTCCATTACTCTAGAAAGCACTTAATATGCCTGTTCCCAGGCTCTGGCCCTGTTTGTGAAGCTCATTCGACGAGTCCTGAAGCACTTGATTGAGTTACAACGGTCCACTGTCGAAGATACGGTGCCCGCCCAGGCTGACAGCAGGCCTGTTTTGGAAGATGCTGCGTCTCAAGTTCGGGATGAATTGAAGGAAGCGGGCAAAGAGTTCATGAAGGAGATGAAAGAGAAAGCTGAAAAAACTAGGATCATGCTTGGCGACTTAGATCTCTCGAAGTAAGCGCAAACCATCGGAGGCTGGACCTGCACGGAACTGTTGCCTGGTGCTTGGCTGACTATAATCCGTGCCCCTCTCAATCCACTTGAAGGCCATAAGAAAGTTCTAATAAATGATCTTTCTCCCGTAGGTATGCAATCGATGATACAAACCGAGATTGGACTCGAGCAGAGGCTCAGGTAAACGCGCTTGCCCACAATACCCAAAATGAAGGTACGAGCACCGTCATCAGCGTCATGGGCAATGCCCCAACACCGCTCAAGAGAAAGACAGAGGAGGATGAGTCAGGAGGGAACAAGAAGTTTAACAGGGGATCCATGAGGACCAATGGTAGGTCCCCAAAGAAAAGCTTCAAGAAAAGGAAGCGCTAGTTGGAATTTTGGAGGTATGTGTGGGTGTATTTTATTTCATTGCCTTTTCCCGCCATGTGGCGTAATCAGTCGGTGCTAGAACCCTAAGCGTGCCTCACGGGTTGCCTTGAGAAAATAAGGGGCGCATGGATCAAGTAGAGCTTCAACCAAACGGGAAAGCATGTAGTGCTGAAGCAAATGGAGCAAAATGCCCAAGGTTACAAGCAATTTCAGAGATACAGCTCAAAATGAAGCGGGACTTGCACCAGCCTGCGATGCGGCATGTATCACGTCTGTATAATGGTATAATGTCGAAAACACTGTTGTCACAGCACAATACAGCGAGCGGAGGGGGGGGGAAAAGCCAAAATCACGAACGGGGAAGAATGCAGTTAGTGTCGCATGCAGCTGTGGATGTCAAGGTTGAGGATGTGCTTTGCGTGGAAGAAAGAAATGAAAGAGAGGAGCGAAACGGTCGTCACGAGAAGGACAGAAAAGCAAAACACAAATAAAGATGAAACAGCGCGTGAGTTCTGCGTGGATTGTCATGCATGAGCGAAAGAAAACCGCCATACTTTATTTCGGAGAAGGGAGGGAGAAAGCGGAGTAGGAATCAATCAACGATAGCAATCTGCATGGCATGCTTCCATGACAGATCCTCTTGCGGTTCAAGTGCACGCCGAGGATGCGCAGTTGTTTCGAGGATGGGGTGAACCTCGCCATGACCTATTTTAAAAGTTGCTGGATGTTAGTTCATCCTTATGGTGTCATCGATTGTCAATCAGTAAGCGGAACGAATGGCGTTGCGTCGTAGTGCAGTGTAGAGAAACATAAGGTTCATAACGAGGGAGTCCAACACTCGGTTCCAGCCTCTCACGGTGAAAGTCATACAGCAAACAGAGAGATTAGGAGAGTCGGGGATCGGTCATATGAATGAATAATCCAAGAGATGAATCGATGATACAGTGGTCACTGTCCGTCCATATCCATGTCAATGTCTTGCGGCTTGCGCATGGGGACGGCAGGTTTGACTGTGGCTTCCGCTTCAGGATTCCAGTGGTTGACCACCCAATTCCGCGCGAACGAGCTTGCCTTCAGAAAACGCTTGTGCGAATACTTGCGATGAATGTGAAGCTTGTCAAAGCCAGGGGAAGCGATAGTCTCGAGGATGAACTCGCATCCGGGTGAGACCTGCTCAGCAGTGTACTCAGAATAATAAACAAAAGCATCGTTCTGCGAGACAGATGAATGGTAAGGCTCAGAGAGAAAACCATTTAAGATCAAACCTACCCAATCACCTCCCAGCATCTGCCGAGCAGTGAACATGGCAATCGCACCAATCATGCTGGGCTTCGCCCGTAAGAAGCGATGATCAAATAAGCAAACCTCCATGAGGAACTTAGACAGTGTGCGAGTCTGAATGTCATAGTCGTCCGCTTTGCTGATACGTCGAATCCATGAATACGGCGAACAGTACGCAGAGATGTGGAAATTCAAAGTCTAGAATAAACAAGCGGCCACAACGACAAGCACGTGCAAACTCATGTCAGCAATCGCCAGGCTTTGCCTCTTTCACTCTTATCTCATAAGAGACGGAGGCAACCAGACGGCACTGACCTGAAGAATGATACGTTCTCCCTTTAGGATCTCTTCCCTCGAGTAGCCACCCTCAGTCACGTAGACGAACTCATCCACACTTGGCGCCATGATTTCCTCGTACTTTGCAGCGATGAACATAGCAGTGATGCCAACGAGCTGAAGCTTGACTAGCGAGACAACTCTCTTGGATAGGAAGCGATCTACGATGTTGATAGCAATCCATAAGGTCTCAGGTAAGAGATGGTAGTGAGTGTGGATCTGCACAAGCCAATCAACCAAAGTCGCTCGCTGAGTCCATTCGATTTCGTTCTGTTTCTCCATATAATCAGGGTCCGGCATTGACTCCAGCTAAGCGTCAATCGTTAGCGATGGGCCCGACGTAGCATGAACCATAATGGCTGAATTAGACGCTTACCTCTAACTTCCCCATATATTCAAAAATATCTTCGGAATACTCTGATACAAGCGTCACATCCCACCCATCCACCTCATCCTTAAACGAGGCTTTGATGTCCGTTATCTCTTTTGCATAACGAGCTTCTGATTCGGGACTGGCCTGTGTCCAGTCGTAATCGATTTCATCAGGTTCTGGCGATGGAGAAGGTGGACCCCGCAGTCTGATAGTTTCACGTTCTTCAGTCTCAGCATTGGAATACGCCACAGTGGCGTTTCCCTCGACTGCGACCTTGACGTCAGCCTCAGTAATTTCTATTGGGTCCTTGCCAGCTGGGGCGAGAACTTCGACGGTGTTCACTGGGAGAAATGATGCAACAACTGAACGCGAGGCATTGATGGGGGTTTTTCGGCGCTTTCTTGATATGTTATCTTCCTCCTCGTCTTCGCGTAGACGAGTCTGAGATGGTCGGAATAAAGCGGATGCAGCTGCAGACGATTCGCGCTGAAGGTGGCGAGTAGTCGAAATCCTGGCACCAGATGGAGCGGTGGGATGAGAAAGTGGACGGTTAACGATGACGCGATGTGTTTGTGTTTGCTGGACTGCAGCGGATGCTGGCCGTGTCCGTGTGGTCGCTGTTGCAGTTGTCGATGTGGTAACATTTGTTGTGGGGGCTGCCGTGGCAGCTGCTGTGGTAGTGTGTGCAGTAGTGTTTGTTAGTACAGATGCGAGTGGTTTCTCGATGACAGCCTTATTCTCCTTCCCAAGCCCATTGAGCTTTCCCTGACGGTTAGGATTGGTGAGCTCATTTAACGCGCCTCGCCCGCGTGTCCCGTCTAATTTCGGGTCTTTAACGTTCCCACCAGCCATAGGACGAGTGTCGTCCGTATGGATTTGGAACTTTGTCCGTGTGGTCCCAGTACGCGGTTTGCCCAATGCCTGCTCGGTCAAACAAAATAGTGTTACAGGAAGCGACCGCCCCAAAAAATCAGCACCCACTCTTCCGTTCTGGTTCATCTCTGAGAGCACCCTGAGAAGTATACACGAAGGGAAAGGGCAGGGGATGCAAACGAGACCACTGTGGATGGAGATGTCACTCAACAAGACAACCTCCAAACAAGTCTCAACATCGGGTGTCCCCGAAATTTACGTCACGCGCCAAAAACTTTCACTTTTTTTTGCAATGTGCACGCTCAGCCGATAACTGCTTGACCGGTAGAACGATCGCGTAGAAGGTGTTCTTTCTGCTGGAAGGCATTCCGAATGGTCATGCATGTTTCCAATGAACCTGTTCAAAGACCTTGCTAAACACCACTTTTCGCGTTTCCCCATTCTACACACTCTTGTATGCTGAAGCTGACGCACCTGAGCCATTGCACGCCTGAAACGACGCGTCAACAACTACCGCGTTTTTTGCCACAACCCTTCACCATCTCACGAAACATCGATCTTCATCAGTTCTCACGGTCTGCAACGCGTTGAGTGTCCAAGTCACCTGATCAGCAAAACCACATTATGTAAGATCGATGAATACGCAAAGCGCTTTAGCTCAACTGCCTCTCAGCCCTCAACGAATAAAGCGGGTCTGCATGCCTACTCGTAGCATCTGAAGATACAAGGGTGTGGCTAAAGTGCTGCTGAAAGCTCCAATGCCAAACATGGTCTCAGGCACCAGACTTCCAATACGCTATGTCCCCGTCGCTATGAACACGTTCGGAGTATATTAGTTCCATATCTGTGCAAATAAAGTAACCGGATCATTTGCGTACTTCATCTCATACGTTCGTCCTTGCTGCCGGTACTTGCCCGCCTGGATTGACGGATTAGTCAGTCCGACCGATAATGCAGAAAATAATTTTCCGATGCGATACGCACTGCCTTGACTGCAGACTCGCTGCCGTATTCCTTTAAATCATCAAATGTCATGATTTCCCCGCACACGAACTTATTCTCAAAATCTGAGCTGAGAACACTTCGCATCAGACAACGGATCGAGGGTGTGGCACGTCCATCGACTCACTGAATAACGCCAGCTGCTTGTGGCGCTTTCGTCCCTTTCCGTATTGTCCATGCTCGCGTTTCCTGAGGGCCAGCAGTGAAATAGCGAATGAGCTAGAAGCGCCGGATTGTCATGAAAGTCGTCATTCAAAGAACTCCTGATGCTGCACATACATGAAGACTGCTGTATCCAGCGGTTGTGATCTTCCCAAGTGCGCTTGTTACACCAATTTTCTTCTCTTCTTCGGCTCGGTCCTCGTCGCTGGTCAGATTGAATAAGCGCTCTTCCAGCGCCACAGAGAATGGAATAATGGGATCCCCCGGGTTGTGTTCGTCAACCCATGCTTTGATCTTTGGTAACCTAGAAGGAATTGGTTAAAAGTAACGCAGCAATGTTCGTCAAAATGCACCATTTGTTCTTTTTCCGAATGTAATCTTTTTCTGATAGGTTTACTAGGTAGGTTACAGGCTTGGCGGTGAGCAGTTGCAGGGCATTGACATGCTCGATCTGAAAACATAAGAGGATAGTTGTCTCCGACCTCCAAAATGACAATACAAACCTCTTTGTTCGTCCACTCGCCTTTCCGTACATCCATATCTTTGTTCTTCAGCAAGCCTAGGACCTTTTCTTGCGTAGCGATCTCCTCCGCCTTGGCTTTATCGGCCAAACTTTTCGCATTAAGTGCAGGCCCTTTCTTCTTAACTTCCAAAATCTTCTCGACCCACTCGATGTCCTTCAGTCGTAATTCTTTAGAAATTATTTCCATATCTCGAATAGGGTCAACATCGCCTTCAACGTGGATGACTTCTGCATCGTCGAATGCCCTAACGACTTGGAAGATACCATCCACGGCCCTGACATTGGAAAGGAAAGCGTTACCAAGACCAGCACCAGTCGAAGCGCCCTAGAACGCGCATATGGGGCGCACACGACATTAGAAAGCATGGCAGACGAAGTATCATCATCCACTAACAGCAGTAAGTCCGGCGATATCGATACATGTAAGGAAGGCGGGGATTTTGTTGGTTGATTGATACAAGGATGCTAGCCAGTCGACGCGTGGGTCCGGGACAGGTATCCGTGCCTCTATGATCATCATATTCCATCACAAAAGGGAACCCAAGATGAAGGAGATTAATGTACCTTCTGGATTGATCGTGGCGTAAGGGAAGTTTGCTGCCTTGCCTAGATCTGTTACAGGCAACAAAGCATGAACACCCAAGATCGGCAAATTGTGTGCAATTTTATGTACCAGTTTTTGAAAGTACATTGAAGAACGATGATTTCCCTACATTGGGCAATCCCACGATCCCGATCTTTAAATTATTTCCTGGACGTCCAAGGAGCACCTTCTTCTCTGGCACAGGAGCCTTCTTTGGAGGCATTCTCTTACGGCGTGAAGAGGAGGAAGCAAAGTTTCGTGATAATAGAAGGGAAGTATATGAATGGCTTTTGGTCGCCGAACTGTTCTTGAAGGAGCACAGGAAACTGGACCAGCGGAGAGCGCCGATAACCATCGATGATTTCAACCCGCATGTGACCTGTCTCGTGACCTACCACTTCAAACAGTGCTCGTGGCCAACTTGTGGTTCGACAATCCGCACGATGCTCGCGATGCTACTCCTCCGGCCGTGGATATTCCTGTTCGTGCTGATGAACGCACTAGTAGTAAATGCACAAGACCCGACCACGTAAGCTCTTGAGGCCATGATGGGAACTTGCTGCGGGACTCATGCACGCTTTTTCACCTGGCACTAGTACCACTTCCCTAGCATCAACAACTACTACGAGTGAGCCACAAGGTCCAATAGGGTACACGACGTCGATCGACACAAATGGCGTGAGTTTTGTTCACGCACCTATTTACAGTCGCCCCCTCACGCGCACGGTAACACATAGCCTGCACCTCCGACAACTTATGTGTATACGACAACAGACCAGAATGGAGTTAAGACACTTGTCACAACTGTCTTTACTCCAACGTATGAGCCAACTTCCGCCAATCCTTCAGTATCTTCGGGGTCGATATATGCCTACTCTGATTACACTTCACGGTTTCCTGCACCATCATCGGGGTCGGCTGTTCGGTTGGCGTTGCTAAATTGGGGCCAACTCACCCCTGCTGTGCTTACAGTTGTAGGTGTCATCACGGGAGCTGTCATCGTATTATGATTTCCACGAGTTAATTATTGGACACACCCATTTGTACGACACGGACGTTAATGTTGGTTGATATGATTCCTTTGCTTAGGCGTCGACCTTGCATAGACCTTGTTCATTTCCACTTAAGCAGTACAAGAACACTTTGACGTCATTTGCCACACATCGAATTTGTCTTGTCGCAATTATCATCGATATTGGCGCGTAGGATTAATTGATGAGAGTTTCCGCTCTTGAATTTATATCCACAGTATATAGGCCAGTATTGCTTGTTAGCAGAGCTTCTTCAGACCTGGCCACACCACTGAGATCAAACGATGGTATGGGCAACATGCGAGATTGCCCATATACGGAGCCTGTCTACTCGAGATCAGAGAGTATTTGGCACAAGAGCCAAACAAGATGAAGTTTGAAGCTAGGTTTCCCCAATAAAGGAGCTGTGAATTTGGCGCTTAATGCCTAAAGGTCTCAGAAGTTCTCACGGCCGTTTTTGTTGTTGCTGGGCGCTTTTGAGAGCGAACGTCATAAGAGGCTGTCATCCAAACCGTATAGCGCGTCGGTGCTGTGAGGATGGGTATCCATGGACTAGCGCCTTTCCTTCAGAAGACTTGGTGCGTAACAACTTTGGCCTACTGCGATGTGCAATGACACTGAACCATAACCTCGACTTGGAACAGTCCCGATGTCATAAGAGAGTTGCCGAACCGGCTTAGGGCCCTAGCGGGGAAGACCATAGCCGTGTAAGTTGTCTCTCCATTATGTCAGACGTGTGATTTGACTGCCCGCCCCACCGAAGCGACGGAACTCTAGTGACACAACGGCTGCATTTCTCGAACATCCCGTACGAGTTCAAACACATTCTTGGGTGGCATAGGCTATTGATGGAACTGAGGGATAACAACGTTGGCGTGATATGTGTATTTGATGGAAAGGAACGAAGTGAAGCCAAGCAGGCTGAGGTCAGTGATTGTGGGCGTCCACTAATGTTGTTGGTATTCCTAACGAGCCGAAGATTGACGTTGGGGCTCTTGGAACCCAAAAAATTTTAAGACAGAACGGCGACGCGCGGCCCGCTCCCTAGTGCTTGCTCGGAGCACAATGGAACTCCAGCGCTCACGTCGTTTGCGGCAGATGAGCGACTTACTGCGGTACCACGCATCGAGATCTCCGGGTAATCAGACGTGCTACACTCCTGAATTCATAAAAAACACTCTGGTCCCCTTTCATGCTGTATCAGTCGCTTCTGAGGAGATTAACGTGAAGAAACGCGAAGAAGTCCAACTTGGGCAGTTATTATCCGTTTCCCTGGTATGTGCGCTAGATCGGCTCTTAGAGATTCCATTAATTTGTCGTACCTCAATTTCGCGTGCTCAAATCACCAGCCAAAGTTTGCGGCGAATCGTTCTGCAGTAGCACTGAATGATGATTCATCGCTGAACGGCAGAGCGGATCGCATACCGCTATCCCTGTTCTCACTGCACGGCTACCAGAAATCTCACTCTGAACCGAATCAGGAAAATCAGCCGACTCTATCACCCGCGCAAACCCCACCACCGGATCCCCAGGGAATACCCTTGCCCCAAGCCTCAACGGACGACAATGTCGCCGCACCAACATCTCCTTCAGGCCTGCTGCCGATTTTGTCTAGAGCGACACCAGCTGATCGGGGCAGTTTTAGCGACTTAGAGGAATATTATCGCGCCTATCGAAGGAGCGTCCCACTTTTTACCGTACCGCCAAAAGAACCCGCAACTGGAAATGCGTCGACGCCTCGGACGATGCAGATGGAGGATCCCTTGAGTGTTGACGATGAGAGGGCTTCACAATATGCGATCTCACGATCTCAACACGAGATGACCCTTCAAGAAGGTCTCATTTGGGACTCATTCTTCCAAACGCAAGATCTTAGATCCAGTGCAGAGCAGTTCGAAATCCTTGCTGGCAAGAGTCAAGCACTGTATAAGTCGTATGAGCATCGTGGAACACCGCCCACCGACAACACGTATGTAGAGTGTAAGCTTATTATCGAAGCGATGGGTGTTCCTGTTATAGACTGTCCCCGTCCGTTCGAGGCCGAAGCATTGGCATCAAGTCTCGTCTTGAACGGTCACGCCGACTACGTTGCGAGTGAGGATACGGTACGCTGATATAATTTCGGCATTCACTCATGGGAGAGACTTTCACTTTTGTTGTGTTGCTGTCAGGACGTGTTGGTTTACCAAGCGCCTCTCATTCGCAATCTTACGAACCGAAATGAGAATTTAACTCTCATTTCAGGCGCGGAAGTTCGAGAGCGACTTGATTTGCCATTGCAATCTTACATAGACTTTGCCCTCCTGCTAGGGACTGACTTCAGCCAGCGTCTCCGCGGTCTCGGGCCTCATCGCGCAATAGAACTCATTCGAGCTCATGGAAGTATTGAACAAATCCTCGACGCGCAAACACGACTGACACCGCCGAATAAGTCACTATGTACTCCCCGGCGTACAAGGACAACGAGGCCGGTTTCTAAGAGAGTCTACTCCCCAGAGCCACGGGCTTCTCGTGAAGAGTACCTCCTTGAGGTGCAGAAAGCCAGAAAGATATTCGAAACCCTCCCTCCCCTCCCAGAGAATCTGCGGTTCAGCTTGAATGCAGAGCGAAAATACGACCATACCCAGGTAGCAGAGATCTTAGCGGAATATGGACTACCACGGTGGCTGCCAGAGGACGAAGCTGTGATGCTTGATCTTGACGTTGATTACTTTTCGAACGCCAATGCGACCGTTGGCATGCAACAATTTCAGGAGGCCAGGCCTTGACAAGGGCATTATTCCATTTCTCTGTGAAGCCTCTACCTGATGTGAGATGCCCAAGCGACCTTTGATCATGCGTTGGGGCCCACCCCCCTATGGTCACACTCTTCCCCATTTTCCCTAAGCGCACATTCCCAACTCCTTCGTTGACAGGCCTAGCGTCTTCACACTTGGTCCTTCAACACTCCCAATGTCGATCATGTCTCCTTTGCCCGAATGCCGGTGCCGTGGGGCCGTTTTAATTCCTTCCATGGAAGCAATCTCCTATTCGCAGCGCTTTTCAGTCCTATTTCTTTAAAACCAAGAAGGCGAGGTCTTTACAGAACTCCGCAACGAAGAATCTGACGATACTAGATCATAATCCATTACACTTCAGTATCTCCCATTCATACTCCATAGTTCTTTCTCACTCATACTCATCGGTCTATGGCGCCCGTGCCCGCCGTTTCGTCCCCCTGATCGTAATTGCGATTCCATTTCATTTGATCAGATGAAGAAACCCTGTTTTTTCCTCCCCACGCCACGCAATTCCTCTTGTGTTTATTGGCCTCTGACCCACTCAAAAGTATCGCATCGAATAGTTATCCGATCAACTTCGCCTGTCCATCTTTCCAGGATTTCGCTTCCACGGACACGTTCATACCAACTATCAGTTCCTTGGATTGACATGACGTTGTGCAAGAGTCCCTTTGCTACTCTTCAGTCCAATTGCATCTGCCGTGACCGAACCCGCCGATCCCATCGCCATAAACATCCACGACCAGCCGCCCGCTCCCGTTCTGCTGTGCAATGAAGGCACGATTAAAATGAATTCAAGTGCGTTACGACCCGCCCGAATGCCTCAGCGGCTTGCTCGCCACTCAATTCACCGTCACAATCCATCCCGATTTTCTCCACATCGGTTCGGTCCTAATCAGGCTTTGCACGCTGTCTTACGATAGAGAAGAATGAAGCCACGCACAATCCATGCGCGAAGTGGGTGGCGCGATGCTTCTACTTTGCGCACCATTCGCGCTTTGTCAAACCCAAAGCACTTTGTGCATTTAGAATAAAAGAATTGCAAATTTATGAAATACATCCTCCCTCCCCCAGAAACGTACATTGCTACATGTGGCCATCGTGCTTGATTCATAGACAGCTCACATTATAGCTAAGGGGGTGATCCTATCGAATCCCTCGCTTAGTTTCCATCTGCCCCTTTCCTTACTCTGTTGTCTTCCTTGCGGTCTCAGTCTCCCACACTAGGCCCACTAGGCCCGGCACCTCATCTGCCCATTTCATTTATAAATTGATGAGTGGCGCAGTAAGGAGTAGCACAACGTGGTTGCCCAGGATCACGGCAGAATGGTTCTACTAATAATTTGCAATCCACTGTCCAGACGACACAATGACGAGATGCACTTTACGCTGGCATCGAAGGACCCTTGTGTTGCGGCTGCTGCTGCATCTCAGCTTGCACAGCCTGGTGGGGTCGATCGCTTTGCGCACAATCTTTGGATGAGAACATTCGTTTGCGTCCAATCCCACCCTCTCCGTTCCGATCTGCTGCTCTACTCGCTTGCTGCACGATCGAAGCAACAACCCTGATCTCCGAATTTCAATTCTTGTCGAACTCTACCCAAGCTTCTTGACGTTCACACATGAACGTAGCCAAGGTATACGTTAACGTCGCGATCATACCGTCAAGTGCGAATTGTTATCGGGGATGATTGGTCGGATTTAGAACAGACTTGTTGTAGGATGTCAAACGAGGCGTACTTTCACGCTACTCTTGAGGGGATCTGTCTTGATATCATGCGAGAGCTGTCTCCGGTGACACTTTTCACGAGGATACCGGTCTATATGGTGGACAGATGCCCCCCTACGTCTTAGCCAGTAACCGTAGGCTGGGAGGGGGTTCAAACGTTTGATGGGCGCCACATGGAAGGCCTTTGTAGTTCCCAGCCGGCTATTGTGTGGCGATCAAACCATCCGACCATCAGTGATTGCGCATGGGTGCCCGTTAGCCACTAAGATCGCGAGTTCGATGACAGGAACGCCATGCGAATCGGGAAAGCATTATGGCAAATGCCATCATGGACGGGATATTGAAGAACCTCGCTGGATTGCGCTTGTCTGCACCACTTTGTTACAATGATTCGGGCAATCACTAATTTTGTCATCGTTCGTCTTTAGCGTCCCCACACATGGCACACCAAAGCACTCTCCTATCGCAATACGCCACTTTCTTTGACCCCCCGCAAAATCCGTTCACCCTCCTGCTTATGTAACTGGCTCACGAACCAGCCGCTTGTCTGAGACAGAAATCTTCAACTGAAATGAATCGCCAGGAAACTTGAGAGTCCCACTAACGCCATATTGTTAGTGACAATCAACGCTTTAACGGCAGCATGGAGTTGCTTCCCAGCAAGCAACACTTGTCGATGTATGGGGGACCATTTGGAATGCATCATTTGAATGCTACAAAGGTTTCCTAATTGGGCCGGATGCAATGGTGCGGTGACATTTCTTCCTATCCGGGCCTCAATGAAATTTATCTCACGCTCTCACGAAATGTTCAGATACTTTTATTTTTATTTCAATTCAAACCCTTCGTATAGAAAAAAAACAACCATTTGAAAAACAAAAACAACGCTTTTAAATTACGCGATTCGAATCATGTGGTTGAGTTAATGTTACATTCAATACACTTGTGGGAAATTTGCAAAACTACGTTGAATAGCAAATATCAATCGAACAGTCAGCAAGGAAATTACACTCCGAGTTGTCTGTTCGCATACACCTACCATTGAGGTTGCCCAGCAATGAAGCAATGCGGGGAAAGACTTAGTTAGTTATCACATCCGTATCACGTTCAATTGCGGGATCTGAGTGTGCTTCAATATTCGCGCATGAACACCGCATATGATTGGAGGATCTCACTTCCCTACATCTCAGTGAACCCTTACATAAGTGACTGGAACGGCCATCACGCTGGTCGAGTGCTCCAGATGGGTGGCACTACCACAGTGCTGGAGTATTGTATTTTGACAGGGAGCGTGAGGGCGAAACCCAACATCATAGCTTTAAGGAAAGATTGGCGGCCATTGTGAAGAGCGTTGATAATCACGCCCAGCGCCGGGGGATCTCGGCCTCTGGCCATCATCAAGTGGTACTAGTGACGCCGGGGAAGTTTCAAGAATCAGATTTAGATCAAGATCCAAGCTTTTGGTCCTTCCTCCCTTTGTTTTCCCTTTGATCAATGAGGCGAGACTTTGCAAAGCGAACGGACTGCACTTGAGGAAGGTGCTGAGGCCATCGACAGTCCGAGTCCTGTTGTGGGTTTCCCCCCCTGGGATATTTTTGTCTCGTTGATCTGATTTTTTCAGCTCATCAAAAGGTCCTGCCACCGAAGACAGTGAGTGACCAACGCAAATAAAAAGGTGATTCCTGGTTCCTGGAAACCCAAAAACTGGAAGTTGCGAAAGCTTCATATGGAATCTGGAATTGAACCGGTTCCTCCGCCATGTAGCCCATTGTTGAAAAGCCGGGATCTACAACGGCGATCCAGACTACGAAAAAGGGCAGAAAGGGCGTAAACTACATTGTTGGGCACCCCGTGCAAAGTGATTGGGGCTTGGACGGAAGGGAGTCGGGTTAACCTGCAATGGACACGGTGGAGCAGAGACGCAACCCTGACCGCAGTCGGTGGAGTCCTCGCTCAGTGTGGAGCATGGAGGGGAATTCAACCCTGCGTATGGTCGGCTGAGAATGCACTTGCCCGATAGGCCGACTAGTGTGCATCCAGTATTTGGAGGTTGCCAAACGCAATGCCTGCTCTCGCTCACCAGTAACTCCGACTCGGTCATGGAACCAGGTATGACCGAAGCACGCAGTAGCATTGTGGCTGGGACCATGGGACCAGCTGAAGCAGCCTCCGTTAGGCCGCGGCGTGTGTGTACAATCATCCGTAAATATCCCGACACCAAGGGATTCGGAGAAAGAAGTGAGACGGAAGAAGCAGCAGCCTTGCAAGCCGACGCTACGAGTAGCGCAGCGATTCGCGGCATTGCTTCTTGATACTTCAGCCGATTCTGGACGAGCGAACAGACGTAGGAATCCGATCGGCCCACGAGTGTCGGCGCTAAAGCGCGAGAACTTGAGAAGTCAAAAAAATAATAATAATAATGAGATAACTAACAGCCGATGATGGATCGGTCCATAACTCTAGCCCATGATACCAATATGTAAGATATATTGCACAACCACACGCACGTATTGGGGTTTCCCAGCACATCCCTGACCGGCCAGAAGGGTCAGAGATCTGGATTTCCTACTGGCGGGTGCGCAACCGACTCCCCTCCCAAGGTACGAATGAAGAACGCGGCCCGAATGGGGGGGGGGGGTGACGAAAAGTCACTTGTAACCCCCAGCAACCAAAGTATAGTTATCCGTTAATTAACCCCCAAGTTAGAAACCGGTGGAGGGCCCTAAGCAAATGATTGCGCCTCAAAAGCCCTTGCAACCAGAAAGAAAGGCTGCCATGCATACAGTACTATATGTTCCCCATGCAATCCAATATGAGGTCGTAAGTCTAAGCGACGGACCAGGAACGGACAACGACAGCTCGGCAACGAGGGACTTCGAATTGGCCGAGGTGCAAGGTCTTCCAAATCTGAACCGAAGAAGGATGTTATCTCGTAGCTAACGCAGATCCGTGTCTTTGTCCTCTCTCTCTCTCTCGCGGTGGGTTACATATGCGCAAAATGCACGGAATGTGGCCGATACATACGACACAAAGAATCAATGAGTTATATCCAAAACAAACCACAAAGGGGTTGTGCAGTAGTCGGACGGAAGACAACTGCGGGGAATTCGATCCTTTGTGGGTACAACAACCTCCGACAGGCAAAATATGCAATATGCAAACTGGGAACGAGTTGGTTGCTGAAACTCCAGATTCAAGCGGAAGTAGCCGTTGCACTTGCTAGCGACGAACGTGCGTAAAAATGTGCGTTTCTGCTGTGAGACTGAAAAAGACGAAGGCCAGTGAACAGCCTGCAGTTTTTACAAAGCGCCATGATTGAAAGAGCGTGAGAACTTCGAAATTTACAGGGGTACTTTATGCATAGTAACTGCCAGCTGGCGATAACTATAATTACCTCGATATTGAACACGGCGTAAAACCCCTTTTCGTGATCGTCCGACGCATATATACCGCATAATCTTCAGACGGAACATTTGTGAGTTTTTACAGAGTAAGTATAAGTACTAACTCTTTTATATACGTTTATCCGCTGCTCTCTTTGTCCAGAGGCGGCACATAGGAATCAGATTCTTCGAAATTAGATGGATAAAACCCAAGGGGAGTGATTCAGTGAGGTGTGTTGGCTATTGGTGGCCCAAGCGCGAGTTGCAGGGTCGATTGATTCCCGGCAAATTCCGACATTTTTCGTCCAAACACAGAATGGATGATTGAAATTTCGGGCATCAGCCACAAACGCATCTTGCCGGATACGAACTTCACGTGTGGTCAAGAAATCCAAATCCCAGAAAGGCTACGGCAGCAACTTCCATTTCTCGATATGTACTGTGTGGATCGTGAAAGTGTTTAGCTAGGCACACCCGTAACAATCATAACAACAATATTCGGCCAAATCCGCGACAATATATGTAACAACGAACTCCGCCAGCAGAAACAGCACGATCAAAAAATATTGTACACTTTTCCACTCAGTTCGCCCTCGTCCCTGGGCCCAAGTGTGAACCATGCGAAAAAAAAGTAATATTGTGACACCTCTTTTGACGAAAAGAGTTTATACTCCATCGAACACGCCTAAGTGTGTATAGAATCAGCAAAGAGGAAAAGAGTATAATTAACAGAGTTGGGAAACCTAGGACAAGATCAAACTGAAGAAGAGATATGGGGACAATGGAATATGATATGCTGATATAAGGAAAGAGGCACGTGTGAGTAAAATGCACTTCGGGAGGTGTAACCAAAAGAAGAAATTGATTATGGGTATGAGGCAACTGAGAATGGATAGTGAGGTCGGCGACAATATATGGGGGAACATGGAACGGAAATAGAGTTGCTAGAAGAGGACCAGGCAGGGTCGCACATATCAGTCAATCAATCAATCAAACAAATCAATCAATCAGTCGCGGAAGGGAAAAAATGTAGAAGAAACCAACGACTCAGTACAGAGAATCGAATCAGACCAACAAATCAACCGAAAATGAGGAAGTGAAATCGAAGCCAGAGCCCACAACTGACCAACAAACCAACATAGGAACGAACGAACCAAGACACTCTTTCTCGCCATGCTTGTTCGAAATAACCAGTCAGTGCAACGTTAAACAGACACACAAGACTATTTTGAGAGAGAAGTTCACACAACGACGACAATGGCCGTCAGAACACCAAGAGAGTAGCACGCCGAACGGACACAGAAGGGAGTAGAGGCGGGGAGGGAACTGGATACAAGGACATGAAAGAAATGGAGAGCGGGCAGGACTAATCGGGATATGTGAGTTGCGAGAATAGCGGGTTACGAGTCGCGCGCGAGCGATTTCGGAAAGCAGCCAAAAGCGAAAATAAGGTACTAGCACCTCCCGTCATCATCATTCACCCTCGATCAAATCTCCAAAAAGGGATAATGACCAAATTCAAACAAAGCAACCAAAGCAACGAAGCACCAAACTTCCAACTTCGGCCTCAGCAGTCAGTTGGTACCCTAGCCGAAGCCGGATTCCGAAACCGATCAAAAGTTCATAATCCTCGCACGAACAAAACTTCCTTTTCCCCTGAAATGGACGGGACGAAAGGGGCAAAACAAACGGATATGGAAATGGAAATGTGGATAACGACGACACGAAATAGGGAACTGCGGGAACGAGGAAGTAGGAAGGGAGCGGGCGGGAATGCGGGGTAAAATCAATGATAAATTCTACCCGAATGCCCGAAACTGGATTTCAGTCCCATCAAACCCATCGCCTTCGTTGACAAGTGCATCCCCTCTTCTTCCTCGGCCTCGATCATCCTAGATGCCTTTTTGGGGTTAGGAGCAAGGAGATGCGATAAAAAGCCCCGAAAGGGTAGGAAGGGAATGGGAAGGTAAGTGCAATAGACTGTTGCGCCCAATCGATCGACCGAAGAAGCGTCGTTGGTTCGGAAAGTGGGAGAGAGAGAGAACTCCATGCTTGAGTGAACGTGGAGCCAAGATCACCGCAAATGAACCCTAATATGGATCTCGGACGTCGATCATTTATGGACACGATCGCCTGCCCCTCCGGGCATGGCATCCGATCCTTCGGTCGATCCAATTTCCATTTCGTCCCATTGGCCCCACTGCATCCAATTCCAACTACTCGCTCGCTCACAAAGGTTCCCACGCATACCCCACTCGCCCTCACTGCCACCACTCAACTCATCTCCTCGTCGGATAGGTCTGCCAACTAGGCGGCACACCACTTCCCCACTGCCATACGGATTACTGGAAGGGCCCCCGGGAGGTCCACCATGGGAATCTCCATAGCCACCGCCGCCCGCACCGCCAGCGCCTCCCGGACCCGGACCATGTCCACCGCCTCCACCCATATGGTGTTGGGTGGGACTCGTTTGGCCTTGACCATGTCCATGTCCAGGCGGACCAGGCGGGCCTTGAGGTCCACCTGCAGCCGCCGCAGCTACCATCATATGACTCGTAGCAGGATGACCGTGATATTGCTGAGAAGGGTGTCCAGGATGGGGCGGAGGAGGACCATATAAATCATGTGTCGAATGAGGATGAGAGTGATGGGATAGATCCCCTGGTCCGTGAGGCGGTCCTGCAGGCGCATAGGGTGCGCCCGCAGGCACTTCAGCTAAATGATGAGGGCCTGTTGGTCCGCCTGGTCCTGGATGAGCACTGGGATGAGGATGGTGGTGCGAAGGATGAGGGAGGTGAGGCGAAGTTGGCGAGAGGGATGGATTACGATGGTCTCTTGGAGGACCACCGTTCGCTGAGGGACCAGGGTTTGGATGGGATGACAGTGACGAAGAACCAGTTCCGCGACGAGGACGCTTCGCATCGGGAACGGAGGGAGTAGGAGGTTCAGACAACGGATCATCATCGGAAGATTGTTGAGGAACGGGTGGTCGTCCACCACGAGAAGATAAACCTATATTGGGAGACGTCGATACTGTCCCCCCACCATTCGCAGCGTTTGCATTGTTGGAATTTGCAGATGAACCGTGTTGGGAGTTCAGACAGGCTTGAATGAGATTCTTTCCTTCTGGCTGAGTGACAAGTGGTTGAAGTTTGGCTGTTGTGAAGGTATAAACGAGGCCAGTTTCGGAAACGACGAGTAACAAAACTTGAGTACCCGTAAGGGTAGAAAGTTCATATGCCTAGTTTGAAAAGAAAAAAAAAACGCGTTAGTAAACGATCGCAATTCATAAGTTCCCTACTTCAAAAAGCGACAAGCAGTCACAGAAAGCGAGGCAAGAGTTCGTGTGCTCCCCGAAAATGTAAAAAAAATTAGGATGGAGATTAAAAACTCGCCTTTTTCATGATTCCAGCTTTTCGCTTGCTGAACGTAATATGTCTGCGACTCTTATCTTGAATAAACTCGATCTTGATCTTTCGTCGGCCAGCCTTTTTATCACTCTTTTTCCCACCACTTGCACCATCTTCCTCATCCTCATCTTCTTCTTCATCGCCATCTTCATGCTGGAATTGATCAACACCTGGCGCTCCACCGCCCGCTGCTACGTTTGCAGTCGTAGAGGTAGGCGAAGGATCGTTCCCATCGAGAGGACGAGCGCGTTTGTTCCGGATAGTTGGAGAAGTGGTCGATGTTTGGGGAGGGTTCGCGGCTGTAGACATATCGAAATGGGGTAGTCCAAGTAGAACTTGATAACTTGAGAGGAAAGTGGCAAGATGTATTAGTTGTAGTTGTCGCTGTTGAGGAAGGAAAGCCCAAAGTTAGAAACTCGTTCAAAGTATTGAGGAATCAGAAATGTGTTTGGTGTCGATGTGGATGACAGTGAGGAGAGAAATGTTTGTGGTAGTGGAGAGGTGGAGTAGAATGTAATCGCGCACGCGTGAGAGAGGAGAGGACGTCGAGGTCGCGTCTGTCGAGCGGAAGGAGGAAAAGGCTGGAGTAGGAAGGTGCGACCTCTTTTGGGTTGTGGTCTTTTTCCGGAGGGATTAGATATAAGAGGGGAGAGGAGGGTAGGTGAATGTCTGAAAGAGGCAACTCACGAGATGGGCGGGTTCCAAAGAAATGGAAGGATAAGAGAGGGAGGGGGATTGGTCGCTGTTGAAAGATGCTTGAAGGACGAGATGAACGTCGAGGAAGGGGGATGATTGGGAAAGGGGGAGAAGAGCAAAGGAGGGGGAGTGTATGCTTGACTTCTACTTTGGGCGTTTTAGTCTGCCAGGGGTCGTTCTACTTTGGGCTAGACATACAAATCACTTGCCAAATTTGACTCCGAACTGCCTTCTACAGGAATCTTCTCCCGTACGGGTGGAAATGATGCCTATTGAATGAAATCTATTCATCTTTGTATACATTTGTTTGCATCCAGTCAAATACTCATTCAAACTAACCAAATCATACAAAACTTAACGTAAGCCCATCTTCATTCAATCTTTTTTTTTACAATAGACCAACAAAACAAACCAATAAAATCAATACAAACTTGCAAAACGAGTGGCCACTAAGTATTTCCGTATCCGGCTATCACGCGCCATGGACCCCAGATTTTTTTCCCTCGCTTTTCTCTAAGGATTGAATTAGGGACCCTGTTGCAATTCTTTGCCGATCCCTCCTCATTGGTCCAATCGTTCACTCTGCTGACAAACTTTTGATTCAGTTTCTCCTTGAGCACGAAAAATTCCCACTTTCGTCCTTTTTCCTCCCCTCCCATCCAATATAATTCCGAAATTACCCAATTCGGGCAGTGTTGCCCGTTTGCCTCTTGAACAATAATTTTCGTTGTTACTTACAATTCCCCCCTATGTAACTCAGTTGTGCTCATTCAACTTTTATTTCGGCTTTCACCTTCCTTACTTAGCCCCCTGTCCTTCCCCTCCCTCTTCTCTTTTACACGAGGTGTATCAATTCATATTGGGGAACAGCCGAGAGCGCGCGCTCATACTACTATCATTCCATTCGCTTCGCTTGTCAACGCCCACTCTAAGTGCTTCCTCCTCAAGGGCGTGTCAATCGTTCAACGAGATAAGAAAGATGTCTTTCTTGCTCGATCATGGCAACTTCCACGTTGTGACAATTCCCTGGCAAGTCACTAAACGCCTAGATGAAATGTCTGCAATCCTACAAAATTCTAGTCCCCATGCCTCGCCGTGCTCGCTGCACAAGTGCCTGGCAATCCAGAAGCTAACTCCAGTGTAATAGCAAGGTTAACTTTTTGATGATGATAATGATGATGATGCAAGGATGCGTAAGACCCATCATCGCAACACGTATGGCTGACTCTACGGCGGGACTACTAATATGCTAGTAGTAAGACCGCTGTACGGCCCCCGCTTCTGCGCTAGCTTCGTCATCGCGAGTTTATCGCTGTGGCGCATAAACCACGAAATCATGCATAGCTAGCCCAGCCCGATGATCGTGATCACGATCACAAATCACGATCATGCACGCACGATTTTGCTCACTGTTCACTGTTCTGCATTGCCTACTACCTAAGCTCCGTGCCGCTTTGGGGGGGGAACACGTTTTATGAATTTAATTGTACAGCCAAGTTGATATTTCCATGGCTGTACAATACCGTATCGCAAATATTACTACGATCCGGCCAAGTCTAGGCTCTCGTGCCCTAGAAAGAACTGGGCAAATGCTCCACGCCAACCCCATTTGCGCAAGTAATGCAGTAAGGACGACCCCCTTACCTTCATCGGAGTGTTGTTTCACTACCGCCGGGTTTAATTTCGTTCTCCACTTCAGGAACAAACGAACGGCTCAGCTTAGCGTACGTTAGCGTAGCCAGCTGTGTTATCCGGGATCTATATTGCAACTTACTCTATTCACTCATTTCATGTATCAAAACGCCCAATAACGCGGATCCTTCCATCCCAGTTCTCCCTCCCCCCCTTACACACTCTCACACCAACCACGTAACATCAGCCGATTACTCTGCTCCAACTGACCTGCATTTCTAAACCCAAAATCCTTATTACATCTTTTCATCCACATCGACCCCGACTTCGAGGGGGCCCGATTCCCTACCATCAATCCAATTATAACACAGCGTACGCCTTTCCCCCAAAAAAAGATCGCGCTTTCGAAGACCACCCCCCGAACACCGAACAACAATACCCGCAATACTTAACGTGCAACAACCCCGATAGTTGGGTTCAACTTTTTTTTTCTCTCCCTCCCAACGATTATTATGCATCATACACCTTATCAAAAGAAAGATATATCAACATTCATTGATCCCTGACCGAGCATCTGAACATTTTTTCTTCCGCCACGCTCTCCTCCAAACCTTCCATTCATCCCCCTACCCAATTCTCATCCGCCCATCGATATCCCCACACAGGTTCTCTCTCCAAATCGATCTGATTCGTAAGGACCGACCAACCGGGCGGCGAACCATGGAGCGCCACCCTATGCTTTCCCTCAAACTCCAGTTCCCAGTTCCCAACTCCCAGCCCACCCCCCCAACTCCCATTTCCCTCTTCTCTCCCGCCCACTCACACCCTTTCCCCTCACCTCCCTTCTCTGAGCTACAGATGTTAGTATAAATGATAATACAATTCCTTAATCTCAATCGAGCCACTTCTCCCAGCCCAGCCCAGCCCAGCTAGCTATCTACATACTATCCAGCTTCTATCAATAAAATTCATAAGATCAAAAAACGGGTGGCGCAACCACAGACCCATGTGAACTGCAGCTTTGAGTTCGGTACCGCGGCCCCCCCTAGCTTGACACACCACCACATCAATCATGCGTGTACATGCTCACATTTTGCAACCATTGACGATCGATATCGGCGGCACGCGCGCGCACACACATGCAAGAAACTATCCCCCCCCCTCCTTTATCCTTAGGTGCTTCTTGCGCTGCGAAAAAAAGGATGAATATAGCTATGTAAATACGTTTACAACAGAGTTTCAGAACAAACTCAGCTAGCGACGTAACATGCATACGTTAGTCGAGATCTTGGAAAAAAAAAAAATAAGGAATCCCCAAATCTCGACCGGACGCGCGGCGCGCAATTCATCGAGAACCAAATCCAATGCCGTCTTTGTCCACACGTACGCTCTGCAAAGGCTAGTACACAAGTGGTAAACGTACGTAACTGTACACATATGCAATTTGCAAAAACCAATGGGCATGGCGCATGTGTATATGCATTGTATTAACTAGCTTTTAATTTTTTCTCTTACTTGATGGTATTGATCGATTCTTCTCTTGACGTTCCCGTACGCGTGGTACTGTACGTGAGAGGCACCGGGGGCACGAGGCGCATGTACTTGCACACACTGTAACGCTGATTGATTGATCTAGCTTAGCTATCGAAGCTGATATTGGTTCCAAGAGAATCTTAATGATAGCACGTACGTAAAGATAACCTCCCCTCGTAGCGATGCCGCCCGACGCATCCTTATTCGTTTGCGTCCCTCCGATTAAACCCAACACACAGTTCTTCCACATGGATGCATCATGCATCACAGCCTAACCAAAAAAGGCCTATCATCCCTAACGCCAAACAACACAACCCACTTACATCCCTCCCCTTTCTTCTTCCCTACCACCTCCCTCAAACTTCCTCCCACGCCTCCACCTCCACTTCCACCACTTCCACCACCACTCACATTTCCACCTCCACCACTCCCGGACAATATAGGATGTTCATTGACAAGATTCTTCCAGTTTTCCGTATTATGAATCCAATTCGTATCTGCGCTCAGAGTAGCGAGGACCGTGGAAGGGAGGTCAACTGCAATGGTTGGGATCGAGTTGGATAAAAACGCGTGTCTGAGGTCTGACTCCATGCCGAATGCTGGTTGAGACGGAAATTCGAATCCGGAGACGAAGGAGAAGGGGAAGGCATCGGGAAGATCATATCAAGGGGGGGGGAATGGATGCAGGGGTGTGATAAAAGGGTCGATCGAAGTCGCAGTTGCCATCGTTGTTGTCGTCGCCATCATTCAGAAAGGTAGGATGAAGAAAAGACCAAAACGGAAAAAGAAAAAGAAAACGTCAGTAACCAATTTGGATATTAATGAATTCCATCAATCCAGGACGGAAAGCCAAGCAAGCACCCGGTCTTGGACAAAACAGGCAGGCAACGGAAGGAAGAGAATGGGGCATATGGGGGGGACCCTCAAGAAGCGGAAGGAGAAGAAGAAGAGGCCAAGGCCAATCAAGAATCGGGGAACGAAACGGATCTAGGAACGGATCTACGTCTCCTAAGAAGCGAGATATATGTGAGCAACAAGGAAAGAGGGAGGGGTTGTAAAAGTGCGGTCCCGCTATTGTAATTGCGGCGTCAAATTAATGTCAACCCTTCGTCGCCCCGTCGGTTGGTTCCATGATGCGCACATCCGCGGGCGCACCCGCACCCTTTCCCATGCGCGGGAACGGTGGATAAAAAAAAGTCAAAAAGCCAAACAACGAGGGGGTCGAGGGGTTTAATGAACACTCTTCCCTTCACGACGGGCCCAGAACCAATGATCCGTGCAAAGTGGGGTTCCCTAACCGCACTTCATGTCGTCCAGCGATCAACAGTAAGTAATGACCGCCCCCGATGAGACGGAGAACGGGGGGAGTGTAAGATCACGGGAGCGGGGATGATCCAAGATGTTCGGTGAAGGAAAATGAATGAATCCACCCAAAATGAACTAGTACTTGTTCAGGTTCCCAAGGGGAAAAAAAATAACTCCCATCCGACGGAGGAGTTCCTTGGCGAATCAAAAATGAAACTTGAGAAGATCATAATGAAAAGTGACGCAATAATTGACGGGAAGCGGAAAGAGGGTAACTAGAGCAGCAGGGGAGGTTTTTGAGAACCCGAGGGGTCACGTACGTAACAGAATGGAGGGCAAGTGTCCCTCTCCGTTGTTGACCATAGAGTGCTCACAACGCTCGCGAAAAGAGAGCCCGAAAGGAAGGTAAGAAGCGATTGGGAAAGGATCAAGGGATTAAGCAAAAGTTGAGGGTCCTGTGCCGAAGGGACACACGCCCTGAGACGTGCACCTTCGAACGGCAACTGTTTTTTTTTTACTTAATGACCAAACGAACAAGGAGATAAGTTCGGAGTCGAAATTCGATTAGTGCCCGTCGCCCCGACCGTGGTTGGCATGTAGTCCTCATCAGGAGAATTACGTGGACATACGTACGTATGACGTCCCGTAATTACTTTCCCCCTATTTGGTGCTCCATTACCCTCCAAGAGCGTCGTGACGTGGCGAATGACGAAGAAATGATGCACGGCGCCCGCGCCGCAAGCCCATATACCATGCACACCCGTCGCCGTTTTATCTAATGTGTTCGTTTTGCGTCACGAACGGACAGCGCTTCGCGATGAAGAAGCAAAAAGCAAATCGAAACCGAAGCGAGCAAGAAAGAAAGAAAGAAAGAAACGAACCCAGAATCAAAGAAGAGCAAAAGAAGAAGTAGGCTCGCGTTGGTAAATGCGGTGACATGCGGGGCAGTGGCTTGAGAAGAGGGAAACAACCCTGCAAGTGACCACGCGAATTCCACGCGAACAAGGGGGGTTGGGGGGGACAACGCAGCCACCGCCGCAATAACGCAAAAAGCACGGGCATGTTCTCCGGGTCGAAGAACGCGGACTCCGAAGAAGAAGCGAAGACCGAAGACTCGGAGACAAGAACGGGATATTCAATTTATACATTCCCTTCTCTCCTTTGACGTCCCCCATGTTCTGCAAAGAGAGAGCCGAATAATCGAAATGGGAACCAAAAGGTCCTTCATTCCAATCCAATGAATGGCTCGGAAGAATCAAGGAGAATGGGTCAAAGAACCCAAAAATTCAGGAGCGGAGAGGGGACCATGCAAAACGATAGCCGAGCACGCCACGCAATAACATAACCTCAGGGAAAAGTACAACATACCTTTGTCACGGTAAGCAATCCTCGCCTTGTGTCTCTTCCTCTGGGCCTCCTTCTCCCCAGGAAGAACCACCGTAATTCCACCCAACGATCCACTACCCGGTCCACTCAACCCACCAATGCCGCTTCCCGCTTGACCAAGTCCTTCCGAGTCAGGTGACAGAGGTTGATGATGGTGATGGTGATGGCCATGGCCATGATTGTGACGAGGGTGTGAATACGACGATAAACTTAGAGAAGCATCTGTTCGTTTTTGTTCGTTTATTTCGCGACCGAGGGCATTGAGGATGTCATGCGGACGTTCTGTGAGATCCAAAAGCCAAATCGATATATATCAGGGGTGGCAAACGATGACCATGAACACAACCTCACCTTCGGTCTCCGTACCTTTTAATACGGACTTTATTTTGTACGCACCGTGACGTGTCTCCCAAACGAGAAACCTAACGAAGAGGGAAAGGAATGTTGAGATTACTCCAAGGAAAAGATTGAGGCTAGTGACACACAGTATACCCTCCCGCAAACACGTCTCCAAATGATATTCCAGTCCCTTCTCAGCATCAGCATCTAATGACAGCCAACCAATCAGTCATTACGTGTTTTTGAGAAACGTACACTAGATGACTCACCATACATAAAATCAGCACTGATACCAGCACTCCAAAGCTTCGCAGCAAGCTTCATCCTCGCCTCCAACGCCCACGTTCCTCCCGCTCCACTAGCACTTCCTCCATTACCACCAGCCGTACCTGTACCCGTCTCTCCAACTCCCCACGTCAAACTAACGACGTAGACATTACATCTCCTGGGGAACGCCCCAAAGGACCTTCGTTCCTTGTCCTTTAAGAGCGCATCAATTGACGACTTGTGCTGAGAATTGACAAGATGCGCAATCGTTTCCAGGACGAGTTGAATGGCGATAGCTTTGATCGGCGTACGAGGGATAGTCGAAGGGGGTGTGAACCTTGATATCAGTGTATCATACCTAATAAAAAGAAAGAAATCGATCATGGGGTAAGTCACAACTACCACACAAGATACGAACCTTCCTCCTCGGGCAACGACAACCCTCTTTCCTCGGACTTCAAACATGACTCCATGCCCAAAAAGCGGATGCAAACGCATAAGGAAAGGGTGAATCATTATCTTCCTCCGAACTCCCATGGATACCACAACCGACGTAATCGCACGCAATTCGTCAAGTGCTCCACTCCCCAATCGGTCCAACCGTGCGGCATATTGACCCGGAGCATCATCGGGCGTTTCTGGATCCAGGAATAAACGTCAATCAACCCATGCAACAACGTGTGCGGCGTGGGAAACGCGGATCAAAGCAACTTGGGGTTTGAGAAACAAAAAACAAAAAAACAAAAACTTAGGGCCCCGAGAACGAGGAAACAGAAGAGGGTAATAGCCAAAAAAAAGGGATCGGAGGGATTGAAAAGGAGGGAATAAGCAATTGAAATGAATGGATTCAACAATGACGAACCCACGTCCGCCAAGGAAAGCTTAATCCCGATCGGGACAAAAGCAAGCCAAGAAGAGGAACGTAATGAAGTCTATTTTGAAAGCAAATATATAAAAAAAGAATTAAGCCTTTTTTAACTCACGCGGCTCCAACAAGACCTCGATATCATCTATGACGCTCCGAGGAACACCTTGTCCCACGAGCGATCCCTTCTTTTGCGCCACGCTCCATTTGGGGTTCTCGGTCACCGCTATCACATCCCGATGCCGGTCTTCCGGAATACGCGAAAAGATCCCATCCGTTACTTTGGGGAAAACAAAAATAAAAATAAACAAAGAAAATTACTCAGTATTTCCAAAGTTTTTGGGCGAGCTCTAATTGACTCACATGCAGAATGTGTAATGAATATATCATACGATTGAGTTTCTATCCCAGGCATTGAACGTAGCGCCTCGTCCGTGATACATATCGCCTCCGCCTCCGAAGCAAGCGAGTCAACATCCGTCGAGATGATGTCGAATGCAGCTTGCTGCCACGCCGTCGGCTGTCCCGGCGCATCCTGGTACGCGTGGCCTTGATAAAGGCGATAACTATCCTCATCATACCTAAACATGCAAGGAAATCACGTACCACAATAAAACCTCTTAATCCTTTTCAAATCCGATAGCGCAGCAGACCTGGCCAAAGGTACGATCACACTCTTTGGAAGCATGACCAAATTACCCTGTCTATCCAAGAAAACAGGAGCAGGATTCTTCTCCATCTCTTGACTCTCGATAAGAGGCATTAGTAATGGAGCATCGTCTTCTACCGCTCCATGTAATCTAAAGACCCCCACCGACGCATCACGCACCACAGGTACGAAGGGCGCATATTCTCGAGCGGATGTCGTAGCGTCGTATGAGAACACTTTGGCCGGGTCTACGGGTTGGGTGAATAACGTTCGTAACAGGACATCATATCTCCTTGATTCAGGATTCACTAGGAATAGTATCAACAGGAGTGAGCCAAAAACAACGTCTGTTTGCTTCTCAATCTTACCTAACAGCCTAAGTGCCTCATTGATGCTCTCTTCCTCGACCCTTTTCGGCATCAACTCATGCCTGGAAAGTTCAGCGGCCGAAGGTCTAGTGCCCGGATTGTGCTGCAACAACAATTGTATGATTGCGCGCTGTTTCGCTCTCTCGGCAGGCCATGATTTCGGAAACACAACCTTGACGGTACGCAGGTCCGTAAGGACATGAAGTCTTTCGGTTCCAGTAGGAAAGGGAAGCATGTTCATCTCGAAAAATACGATCTGCAACCAGTGATTCCTCGAACGTGTGGAATGGGGAGGAAGAGAGAAATGTACTCACGCCCAGGCTGTACATATCAGCTTTTGAATGGTTTTGTCCTTTCCTTCGGTGGAGTACCTCTGGGGCAATGTAAAGCCCCGTTCCTACCCCTAAGCTGTGTCTTAAGCTGACTCGGAAGTTCCCTTGCAAGCAATGGAACCCAACCTGAGGTAAGTTCGGACCCGACAACAGCATCTTCGTTGTCGGAATGCTCCAGGATCCCTGTGCGAGATGATGCGAGTCCAAAATCCCCAACCTTGACATCTCCTTTAGCATCTGTAAAATACACCGTTTAACATTCCAAGCCTGATAGGAAAACTCTTGCGAAACATCCCAATGAAGATATTCCCAGGTTTGATGTCTCGGTGGACCTGTAATCGAGTGTTCAGTGAGAAAATTGCGAATCATACGCGAAATGGTAACTTGGACGACTGACAATTCCCCACGAAGCAATATGTTCCAGTGCATCAAGAATTTGTCGAAATAGAGTCCAGACTCGTTCCTCAGGTATGCCTTCATCGATGGCCTATAGTTCAAGTTTTAGCTTTCTAGCTAAAAATCAAGCTCATAAACACCATCCACACGCACTTCTCTCAGAGTTTGTTTTTCAACATATTCCTTTAACACTTCGCTCAGTTTAAAAACCAAATGCGCAGCTGCCTGAGATACCACCCACCATTTGAATGTACAACATCTCTGTCTTTGGGATGTGAATCGGTTGATGCCCCACACTTCGGTCTCCACTCCTATGACCACGAGCACGTCTTTGTGTTCCAATTGATGACACGGAACTAGCACCATCGTCATCGTCGTCACCAGCATTCTCGGACACATGTGTTGAACTCCCTTGAAGGCTAGGAAAAGTAGAACTACGAGCAAATGAAATTTCCGGAAGCGAAGGCTCGATAACGTGGAAAGGATCGCTGTCTTCATCGTCAGAACCAAACCCATCGTTGCCTCGAGATTGATCTGAAGAGTCATTGCAATCTTCGGAATTACAGCCGTCATCATCTTCATCCAGGATCGGTTCGACCCAAGTCTAAAAACACCATTAATCGGGCATTTAGACATTCCCAGCGTGGGAGAGGACAGTCGACACACGGTGTAATAACGAACGATGGAACTGTGAGACATACGAGAAAGTGCATTCACTTCCCGCAAAATCTTGGCGTCACTCTCACGGAGAAGCCGGACTTTCTTAATCTAATAGGGGATACATATCGTGGCACCAAAGCAACATGGAATTAGTCATCTTACCCCAAGCACCACGATATTTTCCACTTACAGCGTATATCCGGCTATCATGTCGCAAACGTGCCTTCACAACACTCCCAAACGCTCCTTTCCCCTGCAAAAAATTAGCTCGTTCGGCTATGCGTTGATACATAGGTCACATACGAGAAACTCCAGCTCTTCCCAGTCTTGCTGGTAGCGACTTGATGGTGCGGGAAGTCGTGGCAACCGACTCTTGAACCCGATAGTTGGTGAGCGGCCGTGTATCGTGGCGGAAGGGGAGCGTGGCCCTTCTAAGACCAAGCACAGGGTGAAAAGGCCAAAAATTGACCATCGTGGGAAACAACGCCCTACCGAAAGAGAGTCCCAATGTAAAAGACGGTAATTCTTCCCAGAATTGTAATTTCTGTATCAGATCTGAGAAACTAATCGCTTTCTTTTTATTACTTTCGAGCATAGAGCTCAAGATCCGACGCATATCAATGGGTGCATCCACTGCTGTTCATGTCAGTTTGAATGAAGCTCATGATGGGAGCCAAGGCTCACGTTGAGAAATAGCATTTGAGGGTTGTTCATACTGAGAAATTACTGCTGGACCTGCGAGCATCTGAAGCAGAATCACGCCAAGGTACCAAACGTCACGCCGCTTCGAGTATTGGTACTTGGACTGCAGCACTTCAGGAGGAAGCCACGGGTCAGGTAAATCGTTCACTTGCTCCGGTTTCGTCGCGCCAAATTTATTGGACCTGTGTAAGTCCAACAGGCGACTATAGTACCAGGCCCGGCCGATTTTCACTGAAAAGTCGCCCCTGCTGGTGCGGAATGCCCAGACACAGGACAGCACCAAAGCTACATACGGGTACAAAACTAAGTAATAGTGCGGGAATCTTCACCTGTCGTAGAGACTCTTACAACGATGAAGTAGGTTCTGAACATGAAGATGCTCCAATGCTTGCACCATTTGAATGACGAGGGGCTGCAGAGAAATGAGACGCATACACATTCTGTAGCCAACACCCGCTTACCCGGCACTTGGACACAGGGAGAAAATCACATCCATCTAGCAGATCAGGTAAATTCAAAGAAGGAGGCTTCTCAACGAGAAGGCTAAGGACTGGGATGGCTCCGTGCTTCATGGACAGCTTCGTTGCGAAGACAGAAAGTAGATTATCGTGGCGTATTTCCACTAGCCGCCGGATCTCGTCATGCATGTTCGAAACTTTGTTTTGGCCTAGTTTATGCATCAGTAGCTAGACGATTTATGAGTTGGTATAAGCCACCTTGGCCATGAACATAGTATTGCGTGTCGAACTCTGTTCTATGCAATTCGAGGAGAGGATATGATGTCCCGATGGGCAGCACAGGCTCAGCGTAGAAGATGGTGGTCACGCCATCTAACCCAGATATAAGAAGAATAAAGGCACATCGGTCCTGTGCGTGACATACCTTGGCGAGGCAAGGAAAGTCGGAATTCTCTTGCTATGACACCTTTTCCGAGGTCGACTCCTTCATCAAAGACTTCCTGACGAGGATCGGAACTTGCTTCATCCTCCAAAATGGCTTGTAGGCTAGCGGTCTTCCTTTCAGTCTCCCTGCGAACCATGCTCTCTTTCTTCTGCTGTACAGCTTGTTCGATTCTGTGCATTAGATGTGAAGTATGTGCTTCTTCACGATTTCGTTCCTGTTCTGCTTGTCGACGGCGCTCCTTTGGAAAATGTGAGTGAGAGCCTCAGAGTCAAGTGTATTGCAATACCTCCTCCTTCATCCTCTCCCTCTGTGTCATTTCGGCTGCCAGAGATGGTTGCTTAAGGTTCACATTCTTGGGTATGCTATTGTGTTCCGATAGCCATGATGCAGCGAACATTGCGATGGTTAGGACCATCTCTTCCCCGATGTACTTCCTCGCTTCCTCCTTCATCGTTTTATTCAGTGATTGCACCTGGACCGTAGATAGGCCCTGACTGTGGCGGATGGAAAACATGGCTGGATTCCTCGGATACGTGTTGGGATAGGAGACATGTAGCTGATGCAAGGGGAATAAGGAATAGCAAAGTGAAGCATCTCCCGAACATTGCTCACTGTGATATAGACTAAGGATTGCAAGTCAGGGTCGTCAGCTTCAACTCTGATTTCGAAAGCAGGAGGCGCATTCTTAATCTGATATCCAAGTTAAAGCTTTTATACTAAACGAATCTTTCCACACGAACGAACCTGCCACGCGGTGGGCACATCGCGTTTGAATGAGTCTTCATAGATACTAGCAATTGAAAGAATTTCATCTTCAATTCGTTGGGAATCCATGCTGGGGCCTTCATGAGCAACTGAGACGGGACGTTGAAGGGAGTGTCATTCCCTTAGGCCCCCATCCTCGCAAATGGATGCACAGAAGGAATGACGAATTGATTCAAGGCTTTTAGTTCCCACGCTCCGCTCGGCGCTTGTCAGCATTATGGATACCGGTTACACGACATTGCTTAACCTTTTGCAACGCCCAAACAACACCCTCAGTACGCTGAAGGACGAAACTATTCATGGCGCTGTAGCACACTATCTTTCTGTGTTGCCCGTTATCCAGCTTCCGAACTTCGTTCGAGCAATGATAGCATCACCGACACTCTGGCGGTCTCGCAAATGGGACCATCTTTGCGGCATTCAGGCTGCAGTGAGGCAATCAGTAAGGATGAAGCACACCAATACTGCTAAAGTGGCAGTCCCTGGCTTTCTCTTCGACGCAGATATTGGGACACCTTTCAAGGAATGGCTGTCAGCTATCCTACAAGGTCAATCGATAGCTACCTCATCCCTTCAGCACCTGTATGTTGGGGTTGCAGTCCTTGGGGGGTTGCTACAAGGCTTGGAAGACATCGTGGCGGAGCTTGCTATGACTCGGATGCGGAAGAAAATCAACGACGAATTAGTGAAAACGTCCACAGTCCTCTTGGATCAAATACAAACATTGCAAAAAACTGTGTGGGCTGCAGATTTTGAAAGCGAATTCTCTGGGGAAGAAAGTGGGTTCCCTTGGTTGGTGCATCTGGGATTTCGCTGAGATGAGCTTGACTCAGGTTCGTCCACTCTGAGCATATGTATTCTAGCAACCAATGCTGTGTACATTCCGGATGACGACTTAAAAAGACAACATAGTCGAGTAAAGTGCATAGCTGAGGTGGCAGCCTGTGTGCTGATGTTTTTGTAGCTATTAGCTACCTCCATATTAATTGGTTACAAGCGGGTGTTCGGGTCAGGGATATTAACGGGCCTCGATGAATTTTCTTCCAACAGTGAAGGAGAATACCATTTGCCGGTGCGTTCTAAAGGACCGTTCCGAGTTAATTGTCGCGTGTTTAGGCAAGCGCACTGCAGCACGATCCCAAATTAGCTCGAGACCTAGCCAACCTAAATCGGAGTGTCGTGTATCGGTCTCTCGGTCCTCTATCTCAGCTGTTTTCAAGATGCATCCGACGTCTGTCAGAAGTAGACAAAACCATTGCGTGGGTCTTGATTATGCAGACAACCGATGTCTTATCTCCCCTGAGCGCGTCCATTGAGGCTCAGTGGGCGTCCTCGGAGATTTCGGCAATTACGGATGAGCAACGCCTTGGTTTGTTTCTCAGTGGAATGTGTTCGACATGGCACCTTATCTCGTCCTTTCCAGAATCGAAATCTCGTGCCACCATGATAACGTTGTGGCAAATGCTGAAGGCATATTTATTCTCGACCGTGTTGATGTCGCAATCTATCGTTGACGTTATCACTTTCCATCACCCTCCGAAAAAGACTGTCGGCGGGTTGGACCCCGCATCCTCACCGCAGGTAGCCTCCTCCCTCCTTCTGACTCTTTCCCATGCGGCGTTCATCAGTTCCAAGTTTGGCGGCATTACTTCTGAAGGGGGTGGGTTCAAAGAACAAAAAAGATTGTTTTTTAGCTCTTTGGATATCCTGTGTAGTGATCCTGTAGCCAGTGAAGCACTGCTCAAAGTTCTAGAGGGACGAATTGGTATGGTCAGTTTCTAAGCAATGGCACACTCCTAACTCTCGGGGTTTTGAGGCAATCTTCCTCCCTCGCACCCTGTTGAACACAGTAGATCGGCCTTCTTCCTGGCATGCGCTGAGCAATTAATACCGATTGCGAACAGCGGCACACTCGACAGTATCATCTTACCTTTCGCGAAAAAGTGGGTAGTGATGGCCTTGTTGCATCTGATTTTTCAATGCCGCCACCCTCGCTAGATTCTTATCGAAGCTGGAGCAGCGAGAGGTCTTTGAATCGGCTCACTCGGTCATGCTCTCCGTCTTCGCAAAGCACAGCAACAAATCTCTGGGAGCAGCAGAGGACAATAAAACGCGATTAGCATCCAGGCTCGTCCCTTTTTATTTGGAATCCCTCCTCGAGGTGCGTAGGGGGTTGACTTTGTAGAAGATGAGCTGCTGATCCCATTGTGCAGAATGCCAGTGAAGGCCACCTGAGCATCGAACAACTTCGTCTCGCATATCATAGCTTAGTTCGCAGTTCGAGCGCATCTACCGATGATGCCTCCGCTTGGTTCTGTATTGAGGCTCTGTTGACAGCGCTTCAAGATACCCGCGATGCATCGGAGCGAGATAAACATAAGCGACTAGCCCTAACTCTCGTCTCCCTAATATCGGCCGTCAATCTGACTCTTCTTAAGCCTGTTCTTGCCGCCATTGAGACAGAATTGCTCTGGAAGGATATGGGTCCGGAGGATAGAAAGGAAATATCGAAGGAGGTTCATGATCAGATCATGGGACGCATTGGAGATGCTCAGAAGGAAGTTGCATTGAAATGGTGGCTGGATCTGCGTGAACGCTTGAGCTTTGAAATGGGAAAGCAAATTGAAGTTGCATGAACGACGGAGTAGTGATATTGTGTTTGGTGGTAATTTACTCATGGGATATGAATCAGCATTTGTGGGGTATGCATGTATATATAACAGAAACAATTGGATCCGAAGGTAAACAAAGGTTACCAAGGGGAAGGAGAAGTAAATAGAAAGAATCCACAGGACAAATAAGGAATAGGTGAAAAGCCCGAATTACGTCTGGAGTGGGAAGATTAGAAGCCAACTGAATGGTAAGGCCTGGGCCCGTCTAAGAATGAGCAGGGGACTACAGAGGAAGATGTCCGGAAAGCTCTGGAGCCTGGAAGTTGCAGTCTGGAAGATTGGGGTTGTAGAAAATATCAAATGATGAAACAATAAGGAATAACATAACCGGAGGTAAGGTAGGAGTGGGGAGGTACCGGAGGTATGGAGACTGGAAGTCAGAAGGAGGGTGGATAGGCAAGTTGAGGTTTACCAACAATGAGCAGGTCCATCTCCTTTGAACAAGAGTGTCAGAGACTGGGTCGAGACGAAAGAGTGTCTCTGTGATGGAGGGCTTCGGCCTCAGCGACTTATGCCAGGAGCGCTGTGCCTAGTAAACATGTCCATGCCCTAACTTACTAACTGGCCACCAGAACTGAAGAGGGTAAACTCTAGTCGATTTTATTACTGAAGTGTAACCTATGTACAAGTTGGATATATATATGGTTACAGCGAAGATGGGTCCGCAAATGGCGGAGCCGAACGGAGCGGAGCTAATGGGGTTAAACATTAGCCGACTGAATATTACCGACGAGTCAGGTTACGGGGTTAATGGAAAGGCAGGCGATAACCCAGAAATGGAAAGGAGGGATAGGCCTGAAGGCAGGCTCTGCAGGGCAGGCGAGTGTATTGCCCAACGGAGGTGGGAGTGTGCTAGCGGACGTCGGAGCTGTCCGGAAGTCTTTGGGGCTCCGTACTTAGGGAGGCGTAGGTAATAAATTGAAAGGAGGGGGTGGTGACCATCGAGGGGTACCGAGGGGATTGCAGAATATGGGAGCTCCGAGGTTAGTGAAGGAGGAGCAGAGGTAGACCGGAGGGATCGGAGGGACCGGAAGTCGATGGCTGGGGGTGGATATGACAGTATCCCCTTCTTAGGCCTGAACCCTTGAAGGCCCAGAATTAGTAAGGTGAGGGGAGCTGTACTTACAGAAGAAAAAATGAGAAAATGAAAATGAAAAATGGAAGTGATGAGTGGAGGGAAAAGGAGAAATGGGAGAGGAGTCGGGGTTCCTAAGGGCTTCAGGTCCAGGCTTCGCTGGGTACTGAGAGTGGAATGCTTCGACGAGGTTGGAGGCGTGATCGAGTTCGCCGGCAAGGAGCCATTGTGTCTCCTCATCGGTCCCTTCATAGCCTAGCCATGACCAAGTAGAGCAGCTTGTTGCGTCTACATCAGTCGATCTTGGAGTCAAGGATCTCCTCGATCTCGAACTCGAACTTGCCTTCGATTTCTACGGGAGGTGGAGGTGGCTGGTGGTGGTTTGGAATGATGTTCAGGACGGAGGGTTCGATCTGTGAGACATGGAATACCGGGTGAATGGCTTGCATGTTTTCCAGCAGGCGGAGAGTGAGGGAGTGAGTTCCAATGCGGGCAATGATCTTGAATGGGCCGAGGTTCTTCTCGGAGAGCTTTTTGGAAGGTCAGGTGGAGCGGAAATACTTAGCCTTTACGTAGACCGAGGTTCCTACTTCGAAAGCTGGGGCAGGACTACGGCGGGAGTCTGTGGGACTGTCAGAGTACAGCCCAGTTAAGTCCGGACTGCTTACACACAACTGATGACACACCTGCCCCATACCCACACAGCCTGATCATCATCCCCGGACTGGCACAGACATTTGTTATATTTCCTTCTGCAGAGCGGCCCCGCTTTGCCGGGTATACTGACTTTATCATTCCCTGGGTAGTGAGTGAGGAAGATAACTTTCTTCTCTCACTTCCCCTCACTGCTCAGGTATGTTGTACATAGTATATACAATGATATGATCTCACTTCCCCTCGCTGCTCAGCTGGAATCCCTATCGCAATCCGCTTTGCCGGGTTCTGTCACGGCCCCGCAAAGTCCCTGCCCCTCTACCACTTTCTGCACCCCCACCCTCGCACCGTTACTCGCGCCCGTTAATCTCGCCATTGCCCATCACTTAGCGGCGCCGATAGTGGTTCCCGTTCTACGGCCCCGTAGCAGCGCCTCCTCGTTCTCCCGCCACCACTTGGGTTCCTCAGCCATTCGGCCGATACCGTTTTACTCTATTCATTCGCTTAACTAACTAGCAGTTGTTATGGTCGCCGTGATCTGCTCCTTATTGACATTCCTTTATTGACAATTGATTATTCCTTTATTGATATTTGATTTATGTGTACATTGACATTCTGATCCGCACGCCTATATTGTCGGCCTATCCATTCTGCCTCCCAACTTCGCTGTCCTCTGTTCCATTCTTTTCTTCTGTTCCATTACCCTGGTCTGCATCGCCCTTTTAGTTCTGTCGTACTTATCATCCCGCTCCCGTCCCGCGCCGGACCGACCGGTCCCTTCTCTGTTCTCCTTTCTTATTTATACTTGTAGTTTACTGTCGATGTACCTCAGTTCGAATATCGACTAGAATTCCCCCCCCAAGTACTTGCATCCTAAGTTCGCCTCTCAACTTCATCCTCGCTTGAGTCAACATCGCCGCAAGGTCTTCCCCACTAACGTGAAATACGGGACAGCCTAGAACGCGTGGCGCAACGCTCTGGCCAAGTCGTTGAAGCCGAAGTCCCAACCCCACGACGCCTTGCAACAGAGTAGTTCATTAGCTAAGTGACCACTCACACCGCCGCACTCCGCTCCGCTTCCCGCGATCACCTCGAACACAGTTTCTGACAGGTTCCCCCATTGAGACTGACCCTGTCCCCCTCGGCCTCAGCTCCAGCGAAGGCTCGGGATCCCTCGACTTAGAGTCCAAGCAGCTCGGTACCCTGATAACAGATCTGAGTGAGATGCATTTCCTTGCGAAGGAAGTGATGGAGGGAGTCGAGATCGATGGAGTACTCTTGGGCGCATACCGATGTCAGGTCTTGCTCCGGGTGAACGGTGATGTTCAGATGGTAGCCTTTGTTGGCGAAGAACAGGGAGACACCCATGGTGGCATTCGGAGCGTTGTTGTATGCGAACTCTGCGAGAGGCAGGAGTTCGGACCAATTGTCCTGCTGGTAGTTACTGTAGATGCGCAGGTACTGCTCGAGCGTCTGGTTCATCCATTCGGTCTGACCGTCCCCTTCTGGATGATAACTGGAGGTGAAGTGGAGGCAGATGTCGAGGGCCTTACCAAGTGAACGGAAAAAATGAGAGACAAACTCCGGACCCCTGTCAGAGGTGATGTGGGAAGGAACTCCATGCTTGGAGAACACATGGAGGAGGAAGAGCTTGGCCAGTTCTGGAGAGGTGATGGTGTCGTGGGTAGGGATGAAAATGCACTGTTTGGACAGGCGGTCCATGATGACCAAGATGGAAGTGAATCCAGAAGAGGAGGGTAGCTATTCGATGAAATCCATGGAGATGGAGTTCCAAGGACGTTCGGGGATGGGGAGTTGTTTGTTGGAATTTGCACATGGTCTTTTAGGGAAACCTAAAAGTTGGACATACTGGGAATCGAACTCCAGTCCTCTGGATCGCGAACTCAGTGTGCACAGCCATTACACCATACACCCTGATAGGCTGAGGTGGTTATTTCAACATTGTTTGAGTAAGCTGTAAGGCTTATGATGGGGGACTTTGGCATGGGCACAAGAAGTGCAGGAGGATACGTAACTCTTGACGAAGTTATGGATGCCTGGCCAGGTATACTCACGACGCACTAGATCCAGGGTCCGGTTTTGACCGAAGTGCCCGGAAAGTTGGTGGTTGTGTTTGTCTCGCAAAATGCGGAGATGGAGATCATTAGAGTCCGGGACGTAAATGCGGTTGTCCAGCCTTAACAGGCCTTCAGCATCAACAGACCAGCAGGAATTGGGGAGGTTGGGGGAAGTGAGATGAGAAGAGATTGTGGTGTCGGAGGAGAGGGAGGCTAGGATGTCTCGATGAAGAGCCTCTGTGTCAACGAGTACGGCTGCTCGGATTACTGTGGCAGCTAGGAACGTAGCTCGTAAGGATGCAGTGAGCTGCTCCGAAGTGAAGACCGGTCGGAAGTTCTGCGGATTGACGCGAGTGTAGTCCATATCCCCTTCTTTGGGATAGACATCCCAGCGTCTAGTCAATGCATCCGGTTTTACTCCGAGTCTTCCAGGACGGAATCGGAGAGTCATGTGGAACTGGGAGAGGAACTCTGACCAGCGGGCTTGCCACCAGGTCAAGAGTTTGGTGGTGGAGAAATACTCGAGGTTCTTGTGGTCGGTGACGACATCGATTGGGGTTCCTGAACCTTCAAGGTAATGATGCCATGATTGGAATGCATCATGAATGGCGAGCAGTTCCTTATCATGGGTGTCATAATTGAGCTCCAGCACCGAGAGTGTTCTAGAGCGGAAAGCGACAGGGCGAATCTCTGTCAGGGTTCAGCACCCTGCCTTAGGGTGCCCCGGACTCCCCACCTACTTTACCCCCTTTTATTCTTTGACTGTTGCCTTGTTGTTGCCTTTGTGTGTTGTGTACACGCGCGCACGGGATAGCGTGGGAACTTTCTGAGCGAGCAGCTCGCCCAGAACGTTCCCACGCTTACTGGGCACTGCCACCTGGATGTTCCCTCCGGGTCACACTACACAACTCTAGGAGCTGTATAGTTGTGGGCATGTGACCCATTCCTTTATATAGCAACCATGCGGGGAGATGAGACCTTTACCCTTCTTCTCATCTCATGCCCCACATAGGCAAGTGTATATACTCTCTTCCTTTTTACTATACATCTCATGCCCCACATAGTGTGAGGACAGGCCAGATGGGGGTTGAGGTCAGGGAGCCTCCGAGTCCGAGGCCGGGCCCTGACAATCTCTCCATCATCACAGCGGATGGACAGGATTCCAGAGATTGCGTAATCGGAAGCGTTGGTTTCTACAATGAGGGGGGCGTCGGGTAGCCAATGTGTGAGGATAGGGGCAGA